TTCTATTCTATTCTATTCTATTCTATTCTATTCTATTCTATTCTATTTTAATCATGTGCTGTTGCCGGGGTGAGTGGGTGGACAATTGTTTTTTATTTTTTTATTTTTTATTTTTCTATTTTGTGTTTTTAAGCATTTGAAATGTGGATTTATAGGCGGCTGTTACATATAAGCTGGGTTGACAAAATCGGAAATGAAGAAGTGATAAGCCGCCTGGGAAAATCAAGGGAAATCATCAAAACCATAAAAAAGCGAAAGTTAGAATATTTTGGACATGTGATGCGACACCCGGAAAAAGACTGCATCCTTCACTTTCACAGGGAAAGATTGAAGGCAAATGAGGTTCAGGCAGAAGAAGAACATCATGGCTTCCAAATCTGACTGGTTTGGACAAAACTCAGCAGCTCTTTTTCGTGCGGCTGTTGACAAAAATAAGATTGCCAACATGATTGCCAAGGTCCAATGATGGATATGGCACAAGAAGAAGAGTTTGTGTTTTTACTGTTTGTAAGTCGCTTAAAGTCACTGAGAGTGAGTAGGCGGCTATATAAATTTTCTAAACAAACAAACGAATCAATAAATCTCCCGAAAACCTTACCAGAGACATATAATAAAGAATCGCAATATTTAATTGTGAACCTTTTAACAGCAGCTAGAATTGTATTTGCAAAAAATTGGAAAGGAGAAAGGACACCCACTGATGAAGAAATTATTAAGAAAATGATGGACTGTGCTGAAATGAGTAAATTGACATTTGAAATAAGAGAGCAGGAAGATAAACAATATTATTTGATATGGGATTTATTTTATCAATGGATGGACAATAAAAAATGGAGATAAACATGAAATATGTGGATGCTGAGATAAATTAAGTGAATTTCTTTCCTTTTTTTATATATGAAAATAACCTTGGGATGTACAGTGATATTTTGAAGAGAGGAGGAAGCACAAATGGATACAAACCGATTGATATACTATCTGTAACTGTATGGAATGATGATGTTTTTATGTTTTATTTTTGTTTAAAAATAAAAAAAATTATTATAAAAAAATATAAAAGCTCAGTTTTCACTTAGATTTGTAACAAATTAAAATTGGGGCCAAGTGCAAAAATAAATAAATAAATAAATAAATAAAATCTCCTGAGAACCCAACAGACCAAAAACCAGCAAAAGGTGTATCGTTTTATACTCACGCTCCTCCACGATAGCCGCTTGCCTACGATGAAAACAAAACAAAAGGTGTTTTCGTGTCACATACAGTGTTTACATAAATTTTACTGAAAAAACCATAGGATTAAATGCAAGACCATTCTCCCAGCCCAGGAGTCACTACATTTAGGCTACACAACAACCACTCCAAATACTGCATATTTCAGGTTTCTTAGCCAAAGCATCGATCCACCAGATCTCACATTAGGGCAGTGGTGAAATGTAAAATTTGTTACTGCTGGTTCTGTGGGTGTGGCTTGGTGGGGGGGGGTGTTAATGTGATTGGGTGGGTGTGGCCACCTTTTTTTTTTACTTTTAAAAGCATTTTTTCTACAACCTTAAGAGGTTGCAGACAAAAATGATTTTAAAAGCCTCTGACGATCAGGCAACTCAGCTCTGATCGCCAGAGGCTTTTAAAGGCATTTTTTTTTCTACAACCTCTTTGGCCGAAGAGGTTGTAGAAAAAATGCTTTTAAAAGCCTCTGACGATCCCAGCTGAGCCATACGATCATCAGAGGCTTCTTTTTTTTACTTTTAAAAGCATTTTTTTCGCTGAAGAGGTTGTAGAAAAAATGCTTTTAAAAGTTAAAAAAAAAAAAGCCCCTGATGATCGCGTGGCTCAGCTGGGCATGGGGGGTGGGGACAGGGATTTTTGCTACCGGTTCTCTGAACCACCCGCCGCCATCACTACCGGATCCGGTGATCTGGTCCGAACCGGGAGCATTTCACCCCTGCATTAGGGGTCCCTAAACCCCAAGCCACAGCCCAGTACCAGACCGTGGCCCTGGAAACATTGGAGATGGTTGTCTTACACAACTGATTCTCCAAATGTTTTCTAAAAAGGAAGCTGTTCAGAGCAAACAATAACTACAACCCCATCCTACTTACTTCAGCCTTTGATGTTCGGCAAGTGCATCATCGAAAGCTACAGAAAGGAAACAAGAAAGAAAGAGAAGGGTTGGCTCGAATAAATGTTAATGATCTGCAATGGGGAAGAAGAGCTAATAAAAAAGTGGAGTTTTAAAAGTTATTTGGTTCTTCTCTCATCCAGATGCTTCCATTTTAAAATCTATTCATATATATTTAATGCAGTTATAGGAATTGCCATTAGAACGCAGAATTATACCAGAAAAATAAAATATAACGGATGTATCTACATTTGCGGAGCAACAGAGGTAGAAGACTAGGCTCACATGCTATTTGATTGTTATGTGTATGTTGTGGCTCCGTTGCTTGAGCCTGGGCTATCGACAGATGCAGACTCTGAGAGTGAGGAAAAGGAGGCCTCCCTCTCCAGGACCCTCCTCTCTGGCAATGCCTCCGGAGGACACCGAAGGCCAAAAGATAGGCTCAGAGCCAAGCACGTCCCCGCAGCCACAGGTGGACAGTGACGAAGGAGATAAGTGCTGGCTGGACCCTCGCCAGAGGCGCAGGGAGAAGCGTGCGCAGCAGAGGGGAAGGCGTGCCAGAGATTAGCTGAGTCACTGGACCACACCCCACAGGGTATAAATGTGGGTGTGGTGGCCGGTTCAGTTTGTGACGAGCAAAAACTAGAAATAATCCATGATCTCTGCGTTACTGGACTTTGCCTGCTTTATCGGACTGCATTTGGATTAATCCTTGTATTGCTGAAAACTCTGCCTGTTTTATCAGAATGCTGGCAGTCTAATCTTTGTTTTGTGTGAGTAAAGTCTGAATTGGCAGCTAGCCACTGGGTTGCTGCCAGCTTTATTTTCAAAGAATTTTGTCGTGTGGCTTATTAACACCAGGCCGTCTGTGGGGGTGCGTGAGTGGAACGGGGACAGAACAGTGTATAAGAGGGTGAGGACAGGTACCTTGGTTCATATACTCAACAAATGACCTATTTGGAACACCATATTAAAACAACATACCTTCTGTGCAGTATGTTGAAATTTGAAAACAACATTTAATACGTCATAGTACTTGAGTAAAATGGTCGGTTGAGATCGGCATACGTGGGACTGATTGGGGTAGATTGTAGGAGTGATACTGAAATATAATTTTATCTTATTTTACTTATCTATATATTAAGTTATTGTATTTCATTCCAATTTCATTTTAAATTGTTTTTATAGGATTTTAGTAATAATTTGTGTTTGGAATTCTATATTTTGATATGGTTTATGGATTAATCAATAAACAAAATTACAACTATATATAACCAGTGGTGGGTTTCAAATAATTTCACTACCAGTTCACCAAAAAGATGAGCGCGCATGCGCAAGGCTTCCACCTCGAGGTGAGGCTTGACCAAGCAGCCTTTTGGGGCCTGCTCCCCTCCATCCCTGCTCTCCAAGTCACTGGCTACTTCTCTCCGCATTGCTGGGAGAGCGTCTAGTGCAATTTAGCAGCTGTGAGCCACCACTTTCCTCTAAATCCCATCTGGAAAGCGCTGCAGCTGAGAGAAACAGCATTCAACATGGCTGCTGCGTCTCTGTGCCACAGCCCTTTCCGGATGGGACTTAGAGGAAAGCGGCGGCTCACAGCTGCTAAATTGCACAAGATGCTCTCCCAGCAAGAGCAGCAGCGGAGAGAAGCAGCTGCCAACCCGGAGAGCTCATGGAGTTTCTCCATGAGAGACCGAGGCTCGGCAAGGGATAGAAGAAGTGGCTGCAAGATCTCCGCTGCAGCACTTTCCGGATGGGACTTCTTCCAGGTAAGAACCATCCAGTCCATTCCCAAACCACTTCGGCCCTCCTGTGGCTATGCTGCCCCCCATGGCCCTTAAGCCTAGCACAGTAAGCTGCAGGCTGAATAAATTGCTTTGGCTGGGGGAGGGGCATAATTTGAGCCCTGGGGGGGGCGGCATACGGGCGGAGGCCTGGGGCAAGGCCAGAATGGGGGAATGGCGCATTTCCCGACCCAGCCGAGGTGAACAGCAAGGGACGGAGGCTCCGGGGAAAGGCCAGAGCCAGAGAATGGCGCGTCCCCTGACCCAAGGTGAAGGGAAAGCAGGTGGCACGTGGGCAGAAGGATTGGTGATAGCCCGGCCGGAAAGGCGGCTGAGCCTCGCCATGTCCAACCTGGTGCAGCCCTTTAGCCAAGTGCCTTACCTTCGCAGGCAGCCGTGGTGAGCAGAATGGTCAAGGCATGGATATCAGCTGGGCCGCATGGCCGGCATGGTAGGCCGCAATGAAGGCAGGCAAGCCGGTGGTGCCATGTGGGATGGTGGGAGGCAGCTAACTAGGCCACGACTCACAGGCTTATCCAGGCTGCTCAGGGCCACTCAGTTGGGCCATGGGCACCACGTTGGAAGGCAGGCAAGCTGGCTGGTCCACAGAGACCGTGTGGTCAATGGCACGTGAGGAGCCAAACAGAAGCAACAGCTATGCCAGGGAGGTGAGATGAGAAGTGACTGGGCAGGTCGGGCTGGGTGGGTGGGTAGAGCAGTGAGCGGGTGGGTGGGGCAAGTGGGTGGGTGGGGCAAGTGGGTGGGGTGATCAGTGAGTGGGTGGGCAGGGTGAGTGGGCAGGTGGGGTCGAGTGGCGAGCAGGTGGGAGGGACGAGCAGTGAGTGGCCGGGTGGGGCAAGCAGGCGAGCAGGTGGGGGAAGGGCTAGTCAGTGGTGGGATTTGCCGGTTCTCCGAACTGCTCAAAATTTTCACTACCGGTTCGCCTGAACCGGTGCGAACCGGCTGAATACCACCTCTGTATGTAACTCAGGTAAAATGTACATTGCTAGTAAACAATGCTTGTCATTATATTTGAAGTAAACAGAAAAATAACAGGTTTTTTTTTGTTATACTCTCAAATGGAAGCACTCAAGTCCTCACATAAACTATTACTGCATAGAACGGGAATTCACTGGGGGTTGTTTTGAAAAGAAAAGGTTTCATTAGAAATTAAAAGCAAAAGTAATACAGGTAGTCCTTGACTTATGACCAAGCCCAACATTGAGCCCCACATTGCTGTTGCTAAGTGAGACATTTGATAACTGAATTTTGCCCCATTTTACGACCTTTCTTGCCACACTTGTTAAGCGAATCCCTGCCATTGTTCAGTTAATAACATGGTTATTAAGTGAGTCTGGTTTCCCCATTGACTTTGCTTGTCAAAAGGTCGCAAAAGGGGATCACATGACACTGGAACACTGCAACCATCATAAATATGAGTCAGTTGCCAAGGATCCAAATGTTGATCATGTGACTAAGGGGATGCTGCAATGGTCATAAGTGTGAAAACAGTCATAAGTCACTTTTTTCAGTGCCGCTGTAATTTCAAATGGTCACTACATGAACTGTGGTAAGTTGAGGACTTCCTGTAAAAAAAGAATGAAAGGGAAACTTAGAAGGGTTTAGCTATAGCTTACGTAAATGGTAATCTTTTAATAATATGTAAAAATAAATTGACATTCTATGTAAGGAAAAGTTTTGAAAGAGCATTGATGCTTTTGAACCTCGGTGTTCGAAAAAGGCTCCTGAGAAGATCACAGACAGCCAAGAAAACGAAGAAATGGAATCTAGAACAAATCAATCCTAAGAGGCACAAATATTTTGAATGTTGTTATGCTCTTTTGAGAAGTCTATAATGTGTGGTCCTTGTGCTCTCTCAGCTTTGTGGTTTTCTTGAAGACGTTTCATTACCCTACTGATAACATCATCAGGAGGGAGTGAGGTTTACCTTTCCCAGATAGGTCAGTTGTCAATTTGCGCATCTCTTTCCCATCAGTGAGGTCCAGAGTGTATTTGCCTCGGTCGGACTCCTTGGGATCAAGGATGTGCAACCAAACCTGGTCCACGGTTGTTCCTATTTTCAAATGATCGCCTCCTTCTAGACGCTTGTCACTGAAAGTACAGCAGGAGATTAAGTTGTCACTTAATATACAGCCTCTAAACCAGGGGTCTCCAACCTTGGCAACTTTAAGACTTGTAGACTTCAACTCCTAGAATTCCTCAGCCAGCTTTGCTCCCAATTCTGGGTGTTGAAGTCTACAAGTCTTAAAGTTGCCAAGGTTGGAGACCCCTGCTCTAAACTATAATTGTCCAACCATGGCAACTTTAAGACCTGTGGACTTTATCTCCCAGAATTCCAGGGGGTTGAAGTCTACAAGTCTTAAAGTTGCCAAGATTGGATATCCCTGCTTAAACAATATCTCTCTTTCATTTTGTGTTCATAGTTATGCTATAAACTTCTTAATGATGGTAGCTCTATAAAGCTGCCTACCAAGGTGATTGAAAGAGTTAGCTGGTGACATCACTGTTGCCCAGGGGATGCTCGACGGGGGTTCCTTTCATGTCCCTGATTTTCCCACCGAAGTGGTACCTATTTACCTACTTGCATTTGCATGCTTTCAAACTGCTAGGTGGGCAGGAGCTAGAGTAAACTGACAGGAGCTCATTCCATCAGGTGGCTTGCTCTCGGGTTTTGAACTGCTGAGCTGTCGACCTCCAAAGGTCTTTTGACTCAGCTTCCTAACCACACGAGCCATCGCTTGTCCCAAGGCCGGCCACCATGAGCCACAGATGGACTGTGGATATTTCACCTGTGCTCTAAACTTGACAGGCTCCAAAAACCAAAAGCAAACAACAACTTCTAAACAATTTACTTTATTGTTCCTCAGCTATAGTCAGAAATCATGCCAAACTAAAGCATCTGTCAGGTTTCGATATCGTCTCAAATAAAATAAATTGCATTTCCAAACAGATAGTCTTTGAAAAAATCTTTCATTTTATTAAGCACGACAATCTGGCCCTGATCGTGGCGTAGCCAACTCTGACTTCCTGACCCCAAACCCTCCCTTTCCGTTCCCCAAATCTCTGCGTCTCATTGGCCTTCTTCCAAACCACTCTCCCCATATCTACTACTTAAGCTCCCAGGAATGTCACCCCTCCCTCTCATCTCCTAAGGGATATTATCTTCAAGGGAAATAAGTAGGTGAAATGTCAAGTGTCTTCTTGCCAGCTGCCCCCCCTCTTCTCCTTCTTATGTCAGCACTAGAGTAAAAGCAGGTTGAAGTGCTGATAGCAACTACTTGTGTCATTAAAGGTAGACTCTGAGAATTTCTAAGACGGAGCAATCTTGATCCTTTCCTTCCCAACCAAACTATCTAAACTTCGCTGTTGGTCCTTTGGAATGCAGCCCTTCCCTCCTGGGAATCCAGACTACATTCCACCACAAAACCATGGACAGACAATTTTTAGTTACTATTAGCTCTGGGGCAAAGTAGGATTAAGAATCTGAATCAGTTGAAGCAAATAACCTTGCAAGACTGAAGGATTCCTGGATGTTGAGCAGAGAGGAGAAAAGGGACCCCACAAAAGGGAGGGTCCTGGTAAAGTTTGGGTGGGCGTCAATCTCCTTAAGTTTAGCTTATGCCTTTGCATCCTCTGTCAGGAATGGGACAACTTGCCACAGCTAACTTGCTGCAACCAACTCACCACAGCCTACTCATCACTGGATAAGTTGCCACAGCCAACTTACCACAGGGCAATTCACGGTGGGACAATTTAACAATTCTATTTAATTATTTGAAATAAATAGAAATTATATTAATTTTTGCCATTCACATTTCATTCTGTCTCTACTTTTCCATCCTTTCTTTAATGATTCTAGTCCACCATTTCTTTGGTAATAGTGTAACTCTTGTCCTGTAGCAAGTTGGCCGTGATGAGTTGGCTGTGGCGAATTGTCATAGACCCTCCTCTGTCTGCCCCAGAACAACACTTTACCCTACAAACCAAGAGTCACAGGATAAAAGCACATACTTGTGGTACCAGGTGGTCTTCATGGCATCTGTGTAGTACTTTACTTCACTGTAGATCTTGATGCCTTCTACAGTTGGCTGGACTTTCAGAGGTGATGCGGAAAGAACTAATCAAAAAAGTCAGAGAGAGAAAGAGAGAGAAAGAGAGAGAGAGAAAGAGAGAGAGAGAGAGAAAGGGAGAGAGAGAGAGAAAGAGAGAGAGAGAAAGAGAGAGAGAAAGAGAATTAGGCCTTATTGTAAAGAACAATTCTAGTTCTTTACAGTAAGGACAGGAACCCAAGGGCCCTCCAAATGTTTCGGATCTATCTCCCATAATCCTTAGCTGCCTGAGATTGATGAGAATGGAAATCCAAATCCAAACTGAAGTGCAAAGAAAGCCACATTATGGAATGGGAATCCTATCTCCTGGGCTTTGGGTACAATAAATGCCACTGAAGGTCAGCAACTTACTACTGATTCTGGCCAGCTCCTTGAGGATGTCATCAAATGCTGTAAAACAGAATGCATCACATAATAGTAAAGAATAGCACCATATATCAAGCAAGCGATTGTAGATAATGTTTAGATGCCTCCTGGCTAAACTTGAGTTTCCTTAGACATTTATTAGTGACTATTGAATGACAAGATTTCGTTTAGATCAGGACCAGGTAGCCTTCAGCCTGAGGAATATATGTGATTCCTGACCCCAGAGGTCCTTCCAATCACAACTTCCAACCCCCCCCCCCCCAATATTATGGTTTTCTACTGTTTAGAGGCAGGAAACCCAGACAAGTGTAGACCAGTCTCTAAATAAAAGAACCAAAAATAATATTTTCTTTCTACTCCACCATTGCAAACTTTCAAAAGTCCAGGTTAAAAAAAGCCAGTTCTCCCATATTTTACATCATCACATTGTTAACGGCATTTAATTTTGTTGTACCATGTGCAATGACACTAAACTAAACTAAACTAAACTAAACTAAACTAAACTAAACTAAACTAAACTAAACTAAACTAAACTAAACTAAACTAAACTAAACTAAACTAAAGAGTGAAAGCTCTAATGGTTAGGATGCTGGGTTGGAGGTTAGCAAGCCCACTTTCGAGACCCGAGTGCTGCTGTGTGGCGGGGTGAGCTCCCGTCATTCGCTCCAGCTCCTTGACGGGGACATGAAAGGAGTCCTTGCGGGTGTCCCCCAGCCAATGGCAATATCACCAGCTGATCCTTTCAACCTGGAAGCATCTTACATGGTGCCTCCAACATGAACGGGATGGGATCACGTTGTTCAGACATTCACAACAATCAAATGACAATCTTTGAGGGAAGGTTAAGCCAAGAGATCATCATCCTTCATGGTTAAAGGTGGTGTAGGTGCTAATGTAAGATCCCAATTACAAACTCCACTGACTCTCGGAAATGATCTCACCAACACTTTGAAAGATTGCTTATCCAGGAGTGGTTTGCAGGGATTTGGGAGAACCTCTAGCTAAGATTCTGTGTAGTTCTGAGACTCCCCAAATCCCACTCCTGGCTGGCCTGGCCCACTCCTCCCCTCCCAGGAGTCCCCACCTGTTTTGGATGCAGGTAAGTGCAGGGCGCGCATGGAGGCTCAGGGAGGGCAAAAAACGGGCCTACCGGAAGTTTGGGAAGGCCAGAAAAGGTCCGTTTCTCGTCTCCGGAGGGCCCCTGGAGCCTGGGGAGGCCATTTTCACCCTCCCAGACGCTGTGTTGCAGGAGGCCGACTAGGCCATGCCTACCATGGCCATGCCTACCCAGCAACCAGGCAGAGAACCCCTTGCTAAAAATTTTGAAGCCCATCCCTGTGTTTATTCAGTGCATGGTTTAATGAAAATGTTACATCAGTAAAATCTTGGCCATGCCTCTGAATTCATGTGGTATCGTTCTCAGTCCTGGTCAGCTGATCACTGGTTGTGAACTGGAAAAATCTTACATATTTTCCCCAGCTCTCTGTGACAGATAGAGGCCCTCAGCGTGCAAAGCAAAGGAGTATTTGAAAACCTTTCTTCTATCTTCACTTTCTCCTTACTGATTGTCATGCTGAATTAAAAAAAAAAACTCTCCTACTTTCTTTTGGCGAGAATCCCGCAAAACATCATCAAAGCACCAGATCTGGGAAGTCTGCTCTGAATGAACAAATAATATTTCGGCCAGTGAGGGGAAAAAGGATTGTACCTTCCTTTGTAAGATCAAGTTGGGTTATGTCTTGTCCGCGGTCATCAGAAACCACAGCTTTGTAGACTCCTTTGTCTGCTTTGGTAATCTAGCAAAATATAGAGATGATGTCTGGGTTCACACAACACATTGAACCCTAAATCCAAGTTAGAAAAACTCAGTTGCAGCTCTATACTTTTATTCCAAAATGACCAAATCAATGAACTATGTGGTTGTTTAATGTGGTGGCCTGGCTCACACCACGTGTAAAAGACTGGCTGAGTTCCAACATTGCACACAAAGCCCTTTTCAGTTACTGTAGCATGTTGTATGAACGCAGATACAGGTTAGAAAATGAAGTCTCTTGAAATTGCCCAGAAAATATCAACTGATGGATGACAGTATCGATTTATTTTAAAAAATTTAAAAATGTTCAATATCTATGGGTACAGATGGGTCAGAGCCAGTGTCAGAGTCTCACATTGCCATTCCCTGTAACCAGGGTGAAATCCAGCAGGTTCTGACAGGTTCTGGAGAACTGGTAGTGGAAATTTTGAGTAGTTCGGAGAACCGGCAAATACCACCTCTGGCTGGCCCCAGAGTGGGGTGGGAATGGAGATTTTGCAATATCCTTCCCCTGGAGTGGGGTGGGAATGGGAATTTTGCAATATCCTTCTCCTGGAGTGGGGAGGGAATGGAGATTTTGCAATATCCTTCCTCTGGAGTGGGGTGGGAATGGAGATTTTACAGTATCCTTCCCTGCCACACCCACCAAGCCATGCCCACCAAGCCACACCACGCCCACCAAGCCACGCCCACAGAACTGGTAGTAAAAAAAGTTTGGATTTCACCACTGCCTGTAACCGTATGATGAACAGTTGCAGGTATGTCTAGTCTAACAAGGAGAAGGACCAGGAGGGACAATATTTAAGGAGCTGTCCCAGAGAAGTTGCGTCAGGCTTTTTTCCAAAGCAGCCGAAGGCCAGACGAGAAGTAGCATTTGGAAACTTACGGTATCAAGGAGAGATCCAACCAGAACTAAGGAAGAATTTCCTGACAATGAGAACAATGAATCAGTGGAACAGCTTGCCTTCAGAAATTGTGGGTGCTCCAACACTGGAGGTTTTTAAAAAGACCTCCAGTTTGACAGCCATTTGTTTGAAATGGTATAGGGCAGGGGTCAGCAATCTACGGCTCTGGAGCCGCATGTGGCTCTTTCATCCCTGTGCTGCGGCTCCCTGTTGCTGGTCGGCTCCACAATTGATAGGGCTTTCGGTTAGGACAGGTAGAGGAAAAAGGATGCCGCGCTAGGAGGAGACTCTATGGTGGTGGTGGGAACTGACTTCCAGTCGGCGGAGGAAAAAGGACGCCGTGCTAGGAGGAGACTCTATGGTGGGGGGAACTGGACTTCCGGTCAATAGAGGAAAAAGGACACCACACTAGGAGGAGACTATGATGGAGGAACTGGACTTCCTGTCGGCTCCAGAATTGAACGGGTGCTTCTCGTTAGGATCTTTGTGGCTCTTTGAGTGTTTAAGATTGCTGACCCCTAGTATAGGGTCTCCTGCTTGAGCAGGGGGTTGGACTACAAGACCTCCAAGGTCCCTTCCAACTTTATGATTCTTCTAAAAAGAGAAAGAAACAGCCCTAATTTGAGGGTGTTCCTCGCTTCTTACTCATTTTATATTTTTCTATCATTTCTCGTGGTGAAGAATTCTGCAGAATCAAAAGTTTGCACCCTTTTTACTGCTATTTTGTTTGGTTCTAACAAATATATCATCCAGTTATGGACTGTTTACCTGATAGGTTCTCCAGTATGTTTTAAAAGACCCATGATGGGGGAAAAGCCATACCTTCTCCTATTTGTGGGTAACAGTAATGGGGAAATAGCCTTGTCTGTGGAATTTGAATTTCTAAACTGGCACAAAGTTTGGAAAAAGTTACAGTGACAAAAAACAGAACTCCAACTCTGTTCTTTCATTTATGACGTTCCGTTTCTTTCCTATTTTGGCAGGCAATTTTACTAATTTAATCATTAACTCAGGATAAACTTACCCTTTTAATCCGTAGGATTCCAGCTCCTGTATTTGGATTATATTGACCATCTGAGCGGGCTTTGTTATCAAAGAACCATTGAAAAGAAGTATCTTTCTTCATGTTAGATGCCTAATGAAAGGAATGAACAAATGAATGAATGATGAATGATGAAGGAAGGAAGGAGGGAAGGAAGGAAGGAAGGAAGGAAGAAAGGAAAGAAGGAAGGAAGGAAGGAAGGAAGGAAAGAAGGAAGGAAGGATACTTTATTTTGATATATACTTGCTCACTAAAGTTTGGGGGGCTGCATTTTAGTAGTTATAAATCTTGTTACAAAAATTTGAAGCATGTGACATCCAGCAGATACCATTTGCAAAATGAGACCAGGTTCAGTTGCACTGCATGAAGTCATTTACCATTCCTACCTCAAAGAAGGAAGTTTACACTTTTTTCAATGACTTTCCCTTCTGCATTTTACCCTGGCTGAGACATTGTGGAAGTGGCTCTCTAAGGCCCCAAAAATTCCTGGGATGGGAAACTCACTGGAGGAACACCTACATCTTGGGTAAGGTAAAGGTAAAGGTTCCCCTCGCACATATGCTGACTCTAGGGGGCGGTGCTCATCGCCGTTTCAAAGCCGAAGAGCCAGCGCTGTCCGAAGACGTCTCTGTGGTCATGTGGCCGGCATGATTCAACACCAAAGGCGCACGGAACGCTGTTTCCTTCCCACCAAAGGTGGTCCCTATTTTTTCTACTTGCATTTTTTATGTGCTTTCGAACTGCTAGGTTGGCAGAAGCCAGGACAAGGAACAGGAGCTCAGCCCATTACACAGCACTAGGGATTCAAACTGCTGAACTGCCAACTTTTCGATTGACAAACTCAGCGTCTTAGCCACTGAGCCACCGCATCCCTTTACATCTTGGGTAGAACAACATAAATTTGCCCTGTGTGCCAAGGTCGACATCGTGTTCCTGACTCTGCCTCAACCCACCTCATCTCCAATTCAACATGGGCGGAACTGTAAAAATAGGAACTGCTACAGGTAGTCCTCGACTTACGACTGACCACTTAGCAACCATTCATTAGGGTGCTTGGTAGCCTCACATGAATTGCATTTGATGAGAGTTTTGCCAAAATCCAGAATTTACTTCCAGTTTTTGGCAAAACTGCACCCTTAGCAAACCATTGGTTTATTTAATGACCCTGAGGATTCGCTTAACGACTGCTGAAAATCGTCTCGGTACACATGTGACCCAATTTAAGACTGTCACAGGTTATGGCTGTGATAGGAAGGCTCTATTAAAGTCATTAATTCAAGGACTACTGTAATATCAGTCATGTAATTAAACTCCTATCCATCATGGCTTCCAGAATTTGATGGAATGAGGAAGACAGCTAAAATTGTAAAACATAGTTTCGTTTGGTGAAGTGCAACTATGGGGAAAGAAATGTTTACCTTGCAGGTCAGCAGGACTTCACAATCTTCAGTGACCTTCCATGCCAGTTGTTCAATAAAATGAGGACCTGTGGAAGCAGGAGAAAAAAATACCAACGTTGAACGTCTTTTGATGTTTTGGTTGTGTCTTAGAATGCCACCTAGTGATCAATTTAATCCAAGCACCTTTGGGATGAACTTGTGGTGGCTCAGGAGACTTCAGACTTCTCAAACTTGACATCTACCGTATACCCTGTTTCCCCCCAAAATAAGACATTCCCTGATAATAAGCCCAATCGGGCTTTTGAGCGCATGGCAATAAGGCCAAGCGTTTATTTCAGGGTTCAAAAAAATATAAGACAGGGTCTTATTTTCGGGGAAACATGGTAGATAGATAAGTAGGTAGGTAGATAGATAGATATAGAGAGATAGAAAGATAAATAATATATATGTACGTATGTATAGATGATAGATAGATAGATAGATAGATAGATAGATAGATAGATAGAGATGATAGAAGATAGTGAGAGATATAAATAGATGATACAGATGACAGATACCCTGTTTCCCCCAAAATAAGACATTCCCTGATAATATGCCCAATCGGGCTTTTGAGCGCATGGCAATAAGGCCAAGCGCTTATTTCAGGGTTCCAAAAAATATAAGACAGGGAATTATTTTCGGGGAAACACGGTACAAGTAGTCCTTGACCTACGTCAGTTCATTTAGTGACCGTTCAAAGTTACAACAGCACTGAAAAAAGTGACTTATGGCCATTTTTCACACTTATGTGAAATTGCAGCATCCCTATGGACAGGTGATTTACATTTGGATGCTTGACAACTGACTCACATTTATGACGGTTAGTGTCCTGGAATTATGTGATCCTGTTTTATGACCTTCTGACTAACAAAGCCAACGGGGAACCAGATTCACTTAACAACTGTATTACTAATTTAAGAACTGCAGCGATTCACTTAACAAATGTGGCGAGAAAAGTCGTAAAATGGGGCGGATTCACTTCACAAATTTCTCACTTAACAACCTAAGTTTTGGGCTCAATTGTGGTCATAAGTTGAGGATGACCTATAGTGGATTTCCACACTCAAGTCTCCTAGCCAGTAAATCCTCTAACTCTTAATTTAGGGAAAAGGTGTCTCATTCACATCAAAACAATGTGGAAATTGAATTGAAGCCATTTCTGCAGTAAGCCTTTATAGCATCTTCTACAGTCAACCAACTATTATTGTGCCAAAATGTGGTAATGTATAATGTGGACAGGATTTGTATCTCTTCAGCAATGCCTGGGTGATAAGATATAGGATTATATATAAGATTATATTATATATAAGATTCCAATGTGGAAATGGCTAAATTTTCTTGAATGACAGGTAGTGTTGTGGCCCGTCAGCGGCCTGTGCAGCTAGTAACTGATTCTGACAGCGAGGAGGCTGGTGTGGTTCTGCGCCAGCAGCCTGTGCAGCTGGCGCTTGAGTCAGACAATGAGGAGGCTGGAGAAGATGTGGTGCCAGTGGCGGGGATTCAGCCAGAGCCTTCAGAACCTCCAGAAGCTCCCTTAAGTGAAGAGGACAAAGAGGAGGAGCCTCTTCTCAATGCACGGGCGGCCAAAAGGCACGAGTGGCTCCTCAGGAGGAGGTCTCCTTGAGAGTAAGGCTTGGGGCTAATTGGCCACTCCCTTAGCCTATTTAAGGAGGAATGCTGACTGAAGCAAATTGTAGGGAACAACTTTAGTTCATTCTCCTTCGTGTCTGGATTCTTTGCAAATTGCTTCTGGGCTTTCTGCCAACCATAGTAAGATTGTGATTACTTTATCTTTGGTTTCTTGTAGGCTGTTAAGGAAGTTTCTTAACAGCCTTTGTTTGGAAAAGACTGAGTTGTTTTAGTAAATTTAAGTTTTGTACAGACTTTGTGTGTGCTGCGTTCTTTGGGGTCCGTATCTGGGGCAGAACAGGTAGTCCTTGACTTGCAACCCCAACTGAACCCCAAATTTTCTATTACGAAGCAAGACAATCGTTAAATGAATATTGTCCCGTTTTACGACCTTTCTTGTCACCATTGTTAATTGAATCGTGGCAAATGATAAATTATCAACCTGGTGGTTAAATGAACCTGGCTTCCACATTGACTTCGCTTGTCAGAAGGTCTCAGAAAAGGATCACATGACCCTGGGACAGGGCGACCGTCATAAATATGAGTCAGTTGTCATATTTTGATCACGTGACTATGGGGATGCCGCAAAGGTCGTATGTGTGAAAAAGGACCATATCACTTTTTTCAGTGCTTTGAACAGCCACTAAACAAATGGTTTAAGCAGAGGATTATCTGCCCCTTTGAAACTAGCTTTCCCAATGCCATGTTTATATGGTGCATCAGCCTGCTACCTGGTAAAGGTACAGACGTTTTGCTAGTCATTTCATCAGCCGAGCAGGTAAAAACCAGTCTTCCTTGTTCTTGCAAAACTACCTTGCTTCCTGATTGGGCTTGTCTAAGAAACGAATGGAAAATTCCCATATTTCGTAATAAGCAAAAGAGGGGAAATCCCCACATCGCGGTGTGTGTCATGTGATGATTTCCTAATTGTTAGAAATATCTTGCTTGAAATAAGAAGCCATCCTGTTTCTCCTCCCCTCCCTCCCTCCCTTTTAGGCCATGTCTGTGGTTCTGCGTGTGGACTTTCCACACCCATAATTAAATATCATGCCCTTTAAAAAAACGAATCCTGAGTATTTTGATTGGATTGCACTGGGCAAGTAAGAAGGATTTATTTATTTATTAAATTTATATGCTGCCCATCTCATTCTAAAAAGGGATTTCGTGTGGCTTGGAGTTTGAAAAGCCTCTAATCTTGACCTGTAATTAATTGTCTAGGTAACTTTTTTTTTTTCTATTGCAAACAGCTAACATTGTTAACCTCTTGGGATCAAATTAGAAAAACTGGTTTAGAACCAATTTAAACTGGGATGCTGCATTTTTCTTTGGTAACTTTTGACCCAGTTTAAGTATTGCCTAAAAACTGCTAAAGAGATTTGACTGAATTAGTGACTTGATTGAGTAGGATGTGCAATCTGGGGCAACAAATGTAAAATTGTTTGAAATGTTTTTTGTTTCATTTTTGACACCCTTGTCACACTTCCTAAAAGAGCTACAGTTCCCTTCCACTGTCTCATTTTTTGGGAGGTCTCATTTTAATCAATGGTTCTTTCGTCTTTCTGTCTAGGGAAGACTTGTCCCATTTTATATTCTTTGGGGAAGGGTATGGCTTTATTTTAGGCAGACAGCATTCCTTACCATGTTTTCTTTTCCAGTCTTTCTTTTTGGCATCAGCTTCTGCTTTAAGTTTATCAAAATCTGGAAGGGGAAGGGGAAAGGGAAGGGAAAAGGGAAGGGGAAGGGGAAAGGGAAGGGAAAAGGGAAGGGGAAGGGGAAGGAGAAAGGGAAGGAGAAGAAGTGGAAGGAGAAGAAATGGAAGGGGAATTAGAAGGAGGAATGGAAGGAGAAGGAGAAGGAGAAAGGGAAGGAGAAGAAGTGGAAGGAGATGAAATGGAAGGGGAAGGAGAAGGAGAAGAAGAAGGAGGAGAAGAAATGGAAGGGGAAGGAGAAGGAGGAATGGAAGGAGAAGGAGAAAGGGAAGGAGAAGAAATGGAAGGGGAAGGAGAAGAAGAATAAGAAGGAGGAGAAGAAATGGAAGGGGAAGGAGAAGGGGAAGAAGGAGAAGATGTGGAAGAAATGGAAGGGGAAGGAGAAGGAGGAATGGAAGGGGAAGGAGAAGGAGAAGGAGAAAGGGAAGGAGAAGAAGGAGAAGGAGAAGAAATGGAAGGGGAAGGAGAAGGGGAAGAAGGAGAAGAAGTAGAAGAAATGGAAGGGGAAGGAGAAGGAGAAGGAGAAGGAGAAGGAGAAGAAGTAGAAGAAATGGAAGGGGAAGGAGAAGGAGAAGGAGAAGGAGAAGGAGGAATCGAAGGAGAAGGAGGAGGAGAAGGAGAAGGAGAAAGGGAAGGAGAAGAAATGGAAGGGGAAGGAGAAGGGGAAGAAGGAGAAGAAGTAGAAGAAATGGAAGGGGAAGGAGAAGGAGAAGGAGAAGGAGAAGGAGAAGGAGAAGGAGAAGGAGAAAGGGAAGGAGAAGAAATGGAAGGGGAAGGAGAAGAAACAAATATAGGATCAGTCATTACTGTACATGGTTGAGTGGGTAGACAATTGAAGAACATTTTACCTTCTAGCTACAGATACAGCTTATTCAAATGAGGGAATGGATTTCCTGGAAGTGACAGCCTCTTAGCTTCCTTTGAAGGGGCTGGAAAGACACAGGAGGTGGCCACTTCCTGGTCTGCAATTATACAGAGCCACAGGAATGTCCGTTGCTCCAGGGGAGCAGAAGATGACTTTATCTGAACTGTCTGAACATGCTTCCCCAAAGCTTGCTTCAGAGTTTCAGAACTGAAGACTAGCATCGCCCCCAAATCCTTCATTGCCTAAGGCAGAACAGAAAATACTTTCACGTCAGCCAGGATTCACAAGACCCAATTATGATGTCAACCGAGGCAGAAAATGCTTGCAAGGTCATATTATGGACTTTCCTAGTAACAATACCGGGAAACTAAAAGAAACAGCTATTTGCTCTTTTTGGTGATAGGCCCAGTGGTGGGATTCAGCCAGCTCGCATCGGTTCAGGTGAACCTGTAGTAGTGACCGCCCACCTGCCAGGGCACAATCCCGTCCTATATCACTGTGTTTTTCACGCTGCATGCATGTGCGTATGGCACGTGCGAGCGAATTGCCGTGTCGTTTGATGTCGCGTGCATACGTGGATGGCGTACGCGCTCACATTTCCAGTGCTGGGTGAACCAGTTGTTACAGTATATGAAGCCCACCTCTGGATAGGCCCAAATAATCTTTTTGCAATAGTGGTAGCTTTGCCAAATGGTAGGGCTGGCCTTGAGAAGATTTTTGCATCTCAAAACAAACAAACAAACAAATAAACAAAACAAACATAACACAATTTTCCTTCTTCTCTGCCTCTCCACCCAGATGATCATCATTACCATTTTTTAAAAGCTTTGGTGGCGCAGCAGACTAAAGCACTGTTAAGTAACACCAGCTGCCTGCAGTTGCTGCAAGTTCAAATCTCACCAGGCTCAAGGTTGACTCAGCCTTCCATCCTTTCGAGGTGGGTAAAATGAGGACCCGGATTGTGGGGGCAATAAGCTGACTTTGTATAAAAAAAGAGCACCGCTTGGGGGGGGCAAAAGCCCTCCTAAGCAGGTATATACAAAAGTATGAAGGCTATCGCTTAACGCATTGTAAACCGCCCTGAGTCTCTGGAAAAGGGCGGCATATAAATCGAACCAATAAATAAATAAATAATAAATTTTAAGTTTTTTCATGACCCTACTTTGCATGAAGGGTGATGCTAAATCAGATTATAATAAAAAATCAGTAAAATGAATACAAGATTATGAAAGTTTGAAACCTCTCAGAATGATACAATTGATGCAGGAATACAACGTAGGAATGCACTGAAGGGTTACCACAGTACAAGATTAGAAATCAGGGCAAACAGGAAGATAGCTGTAGCAATAGTACTTAGACTTCTATATTGCTTCACGGTGCTTTACAGCCCTCTCTAAGCGGTTTACAGAGTTAGAATATTGCCCACAACAATCCGGGTCCTCATTTTACCAACCTCGGAAGGATGGAAGGCTGAGTCAACCTTGAGCCAATGGGACTCGAACTGCTGGCAGTTGGCAGAATTAATCTGCAATACTGCATTCTAACCACTGAGCCACCACGGCTCTTTAGATCTTTAGTTAATTCTGAAAAATAATCTTAACTGGACACAGAGGAAATTCCATAATCAAGGTGTTGAGAATAGCCTTCACGTATTGAACGTTGGGCATTTTCAAGATGGCGTCCTCATCTAGTTAATCAGTTATAATTGTTAAGGGAAAAACATGATAGGTAAGATGACAAGTATAAACCATGAAAAGTGACACTGCCAAGGAACTGATGACGATGTAGAATTTGCCTTCTACATACCGTCCCCAACGAGAGCCAAAGTAAATTGATTTTCCGCTTTGCCATCTTTTACATGGGCGGTGTAGGTGCCTTTGTCGTCCTCACAGAAGTCCTGGATGATCAGTTCCACAAGGCCTTTAGCTCTGTCAAAGTTGATCTTATGCGACTGATGTAAAAAGCCAAAATAGTCATGAGTAAAGAGAAAGAAGACCATGTCAGCCAAAGCAGAGTCTCTTCCCTCCAACTTCCAACTCCATTCTTACGTTCCATTACAGTTTGTGAGTAGAAGGGGGGAGAATCTACAGAGAAGATGCCGCCATGTTTTCATTGCACAGTCCTGACATTTGCATTAAACCCAGGGGTGGGCTGCAGAGGTGGGTTTCAGCAGGTTCTGACCAGTTCTGGAGAACAGGTAGTGGAAATTTTGAGTAGTTCGGAGAATCGGTAAATACCATCTCTGACTGGCCCTGCCACAATCTATTCTCTGCCTCCCGAGTCCCGGCTGATCAGGAGGAGATGGAGATTTTACAGTATCCTTCCCCTGCCATGACCACAAAGCCATGCCATGGTCACCAAGCCACACCCACAGAACTGGTAGAAAAAATTGCTTGAAACCCACCACTGGTGGGCTGCTGGGGGTTCGCAGGGGTTCAGGAGAACCTCTAGCTAAGATTCTGTGAAGTTCAGAGAACCCCCAAATCCCACTCCTGGCTGGCTCCTCCCACCCCTCCCAAGAGTCCCCACGCAGTCCGTTTTGGATGCAGGTAAATGCAGGGCGCCTGCGGAGGCTCAGGGAGGGCGAAAAACATGCCTACCGGAAGTTCAGGAAGGGCCTCCAGAGCCCAGGGGAAGCCGTTTTCACCCTCCCGGAGGCCCGATGAAAGCCTCCGGAGCTTGGGGAGGGCAACCCACCCCGCCGTGGTGCAGGAGGCTGACTAAGCCACACCCATCATGGCCACACCCACCATGGCCACACCCACCCAGCAACCGGGCAGAGAACCCCTTGCTAAAAATTTTGAAGTCCACCCCTGATTAAATCAAGTGAGGGGAACTCACCGGGGTGCTTGAGAGCTCTTTCCCATTGAAGAGCAAATGAAGCTCAGCCTCTGGAGAGAGTTTCTCAACTTCTAGCCAAAGCCGTACTTCCCCTTTCTCCAGAACGTCAATGTTCCATCCAGATATCAGCTCAATTACTGAAAAGAACGGAAAATGGACATTATGGAAATGCCAAACTGAGCAGTGAAGTTCAACCAGTGTTTCCCAAGGACTAATGACGTCTGATGAGTAACAGGTAGTCCTTGACTTACTACCATTCATTTAGTGACCACTCAAAGTAAGAGCGGCACTGAATAAAGTGATTTAAGTCCGGACCTTGTACCTACAACTGTTGCAGAATTCCCACAATCACAGGACCAAAATTTGGACACATGGCAACTGGCATATATTTATGTCATGATATGATCCAGTTCTACAGAGGAATTATTGAGTCTGTCATCTGCACCTCTATAACTGTCTGGTTGGGCTCTGCAACCCAACAAGACAGACACAGACTTCAGAGGATCATTAGAACTGCAGAAAAAACATTGGCTACCAACCTGCCTTCCATGGAGGACCTGTATATTATATGAGTCAAAAAGAGGGCTGTGAAAATATCTACAGACCCCTCGCATCCTGGATATAAACAGTTTCAACTCCTACCCTCAAAACGACGCTATAGAGCACTGCACACCAGAACAACTAGACACAAGAACAGTTTTCTCCTGAACGCCATTACTCTGCTAAACAAATAATTCCCTCAACACTGTCAAACTATTCGTTAAGTCTGCACTACTATTAATCTTCTCATCGTTCCCACCACCCATCTCCTTCCACTTATGACTGTAATTTTGTTGCTTGTATCCTTACGATTTATATTGATATTGCTTCCTGATTGCTTATTTCTATCCTATGACTATCATTAAATGTTGTACCTTACGATTCTTGATGAATGTATCTTTTCTTTTATGTACACTGAGAGCGTATGCACCAAAGACAAATTCCTTGTGTGTCCAATCACACTTGGCCAATAAAGAATTCTATTCTATTTCTATTTCTATTTCTATTTCTATTTCTATTTCTATTCTATTCTATTCTATTCTATTCTATTCTATTCTATTCTATTCTATTCTATTCTATTCTATTCTATTCTATTCTGTCAGTTGGAATGTCTCAGGGTTACACGATTGCCATTTGCAACTTTCTAAGCCAGTTTCTGACAAGCAAAGTCAGATTTGCTTAATGACCACGTGATTCACTTATCAACTGCAGTAATTTACTTAGCAAAAAAAAAAGGACATAAAATTGGGCACGACTCACTTAGCCATCTTGCTTAGCAAGGGAAATTCTGGTCCCAGTTGTGGGCGCAAGTCAAGGACTACCTGTATGGAAGACTGTATATGTCTCCTCCTGTGGGCGTCCACTTGGGGAGGAGCCGAAACTCTGTGGGTAAAGCTTTGGGTGTAGGTCCCAGTTTCTATTTGAAGAATAAGGAAGCAAAGCCAGAGAAGACCTCTGACATAAATATGGAGAGCAAATTCAAGTTGAGCAATTTATAGCCTTGGGACCCAGCCCGATTCATCCATCTATGCAAAAGATCAATTCAAATAGCAGGAACTATTAGTCTCATCCCTGCAAATTGTGGAAGAGATATTTTTTTTTAGTGAAGTAGTAAAAAAAGGAAGATGTGAGTAAGATAAGGAAGAAGGAGGAATCTCCATGGGTCTGACTCCATTCCCAACCTGCTTCAGGCCTCACCCAACATGTAAACCCATCCATTTATTCCGGAGGGAAGGGACCCTTTCACAGGTCGTTTGGGCTTGATGTAAGCAATGATAGTCTAATGTCAATAAATCAGTGGGCTACCTCTGCAGAAGACGTTTTGATATCTCAAAAGATCTGGAGGACATATCAGGTTACAAAAGGCTGGTTTATAACAACAAGACAGTGATTGTGTATTGTGTCACTACGGTAATAATAATTACAGTATTTTTTTTTATCCACTGGCAACTTACAGGGGTTTCGAATCTCATGGCTGATCTTTCGTAGCCGGTCCAGTTCTAAGAAATGAGAAGAGCAAGAAGACACTTGAGAGACAGAATCAAGATGGTGTTTTAGTATTCATGATGCCCCAAATCAGTTCTTTCTTTCTGTTTCACAGGCCATGTTTCTCATCTTGACAACTTTAAGATACGTGGACTTCAACTCCCAGAATTGAATCCCATGAGAGTTCAAGTCCACATATCTTAAAGTTTTCAAGGCAGAGAAACTTTGTTGTAGCTACATACTAGACAAAAGAAAAGGTTGATGGTTGTTATAATCACTCATGCCCTTGTCACCTCCCGATTGGATTACTGCAATGCTCTCTACATGGGGCTCCCCTTGAAAAGCACCCGGAGGCTCCAACTGGTCCAGAATGCGGCCGCGTGGGTGGTTAGGGGGGCAACTCGTTGTGCCCACGTGACACCCCTCCTGCGCGAGCTGCACTGGCTCCCAGTGGTCTTCCGCGTGTGATTCAAGGTGTTGGTTACCACCTTTAAAATGCTCCATGGCATTGGACCTGGATACCTTCGAGATCGTCTTCTGCCACCAGTAGCCTCCCACCGACCAGTCCATTCCCACAGAGAGGGTCTCCTCAGGGTGCCATCGGCCAAATTATGTCGGCTGGCGACACCCAGGGGGAGGGCCTTCTCTGTGGGAGCCCCTGCCCTTTGGAATGAACTCCCCCCAGAAATTCGTAAAATCTCTGATCTCCGTGTATTTCGCTGTGCTCTCAAAACCATGTTGTTCCACCAGGCTGGGCTATCAATATAAAGATTTTAATTGGTTTTAAATGGGATTTTAAATTCGGGGTTTTATAAATTGGGCCTATTATTTAATAATTTTAATTATTTTTTTAAATTTTGTCTGTCTTTGTGTTTTTAATTAGGCTGTACACCGCCCTGAGTCCTTCGGGAGAAGGGTGGTATAGAAATAAAATGAATAAATGAATAAATAAATAAATAAAATAATTATCATGATCTCACAATGGGCTACAAAATAAGTCTGAAACCCATACAATCACATTGCCTTTTAAAACAATCATTCGCCAAACCATAAGTTGGCCAAGCTGAATGCTGAATTTGTTCTTCCACCATGTGAAGTAGCCGATTTCTTGCACAAGGTAGGAAATTGCAATCTGTTTTATTCTGTCCAACGCGAAGAGATGTGCTCTTGGCACTAAATCACAAATCGAGAGCCCCCCAATACGCACATTGGCATGGCTTTTATAAGCTTTTGGAAAACAGAACCACATGATCGTTAGGAAGCAATAAGCGACAAGCAAAAGAGTATTTACACACACAATACTTGGCCCTTCCAGAAGCAGAGATTCTTTCTAAAATATTACAGCCCTCGCCTTTCTGTCTGTAAGTGATAAGGTATGCAAAACAGTGGTGAAATCCAGATTTTTTTACTACCGGTTCTGTGGGCATTGCTTGGTGGGCGTGGCCTGGTGGGCGTGGCAGGGGAAGGATACTGCAAAATCTCCATTCCCACTCCACTCCAGGGGAAGGATACTGCAAAATCCCCATTCCCTCCCCCCTCCTGGGGGAAGGATATTGCAAAAACTCCATTCCCACCCCACTTTGCGGCCAGCCAGAGGTGGTATTTGCTGGTTCTCTGAACTACTCAAAATTTCTGCTGCTGGTTCTCCGAACTGCTCAAAATTTCCACTACCGGTTCTCCAGAACCTGTCAGAAGCTGCTGGATTTCACCCCTGATGCAAAACTTTCTAGCTGATTTATCTGCAACAGAAAGGGGGAAATTAACCCCTAATATTAATAGCAATAGCACTTAGACTTATATACCGCTTCACAGTGCTTTATGGCCCTCTGTAAGTGGTTTAGAGAGTCAACATCTTGCCCCAACAATCTGTGTAACAACTAAAAGAAATGTCGGTATTTTTTGTAATTTACCTTCCTGAGTTAAAACATGGCTGGCAGAAATGTCTTCATCGGTATCAGTTACTTCTACCGAATATGTTCCCAGGTCCCGTTCTGTAGCATATTTCAGAATGACCTTGGACCTGAAAGGAAAGAAAAGAAAATGCAAGCATGCAATCTACACATCAAATATGTTTGTATCCTGTAATTGTGGAAGGTACCCAGATTAATAATCAGGTGGAGCACTGCAGTAAACTTGCTCCTTGAATGTATAACAGAATAAATGGTGCAAAAATACAACAAAAATACAACAAAATATAGTAAACGCAGGAGAATAAATCTGGCAGAGACTGCAAGAATGTCTGATTTTTATTTTATTTATTTTATTTTATTTTATTTTATTTTGAATTTGTATACCGCCCTTCTCCCTGAGGACTCAGGGCGGTGAACAGCCAAGTAAAAACATCAAGTACAAATATTAAAATACAGTTAAAATATACATATATAAATTTGGCCCCATTAATTAAAAACAATAAACAAACACTTAAAAACATTTAAAAAATTAGGCCAGCCCGGCTTGCTGGAAAAGGAAGGTTTTAAGGGCACGGCGGAAGGCACCGAGGTCTTGGATTCTCCTTATCTCTGGAGGCAACTGATTCCAGAGGGTAGGTGCCCCCACAGAGAAGGCCCTCCCCCTGGGGGTCACCAGCCTGCACTGTTTGGCTGATGGCACCCTGAGGAGGCCCTCTCTGTGGGAGCGCACGGGTCGATGGGAGATCGTCGGTGGCAGCAGGCGGTCTCGAAGATAGCTAGGCCCTATGCCATGGAGCGCTTTAAAGGTGATAACCAACACCTTGAAGCGCACCCGGAAGACCACTGGGAGCCAGTGCAGCTCGCGCAGGAGCGGTGTTACATGGGAGCGCCAGGCTGCTCCTGTCACTACCCGCGCTGCTGCATTCTGGACCAGTTGGAGCCTCCGGGTGCTCCTCAAGGGGAGCCCCATGTAGAGAGCGTTGCAGTAGTCAAGGCGAGAGGTGACGAGGGCATGAGTGACTGTGCACAGGGAATCCCGATCAAGAAAGGGCCGCAACTGGCGGATCAGGCGAACCTGACAAAAGGTCCCCCTGGTTACAGCCGTCAGATGTTCCTCCAAGGACAGCTGCCTATCCAGGAGGACTCCCAGATTGCGAGCCCTCTCTGTGGGGGCCAATGACTCACCCCCAATAGTCAGTGATGGAGTCAACTGACTATATCGGGATGCCGGGAGCCACAGCCACTCAGTCTTGGAAGGGTTGAGCCTGAGCCTGTTTGATTGTAAGGTAAGAGTTGAACGGGACGTCTGTGCATAAAATGCAAAGATAACAGGCTCAGAAGTGCATCTGGGATCTCAAAACTGGACACACAAATGGGACTAGAGGTCAGCATTGAAATGAGATGTTGAAACAGATGCACCTGAGTGGCAGAGACCATAGAATTGAAAAGCAAGTATTAAATGATCCAGCGGCCCCCCTGTTGAAGGAATCTGCTTCATTAGAATTTGGCTGCGTGCTACAGGAAATTGAGAAAACATCCCAGAAGAGGACAATGACAAACACTTTCATATTGCTGACAAGAAAATGACATGAATTCAGATCATCAGGAGATAAAGCTCAACCTGATGGTCACTGGTATGGAAAAAAATTCTCTTAAATTTCTACAAGTTCAGCTACTCCTGAGGGCACAGAAACTAATAGTTAGGTGCAACCTTAGCTTTCCTCCAAGTTCTCATGAGAACTTACTTGTCATCTTTGTCTACAATTTCAACTCGGTCAGGATTTGGAGGTCCTTCATAGTCTTTGGACCAAATAAACTCTGAAGTGTCAACCATCTCAGGAGCCTCAAATGCCAAGTAGATGAAACCTTCCTCATCTACCCCAATTTCAATTTCTTTGGTGTCTGCAAAAGAAACAGAGAGAAAGAAAGAGAGAGAGAAAACTCAACACAGGAACTAAATAAAGAACTTCATCATCATTTCTCTTCTCCTAAGGCGAGAAATAAGGTCAATACCCAAAAGATGGTGGCTTTTGTTGAGAAAGGTTAGCAGAGAAAGAGGGGAAGACAGGAGAAAAAGAAAAGAAGAGCAATGTTGAGAGGAAAAATGTAGATAGTAATAATGGCAATGGATGGATGGATGGATGCACAGACACACAGACAGACGAAAAGTAAATTTTTTATACCTGGTTTGGTTTTCACTATCACAGGATCTGATGGCAGTGATGGTGGGCCAACACCTGCCTTGTTCTCAGCTCGCACTCGGAAAATATAACATTTCCCAGTTTCCAGGTCACTCAGCTGATGGGGAACATAATATAGAGAAGGAATAGTTTTAACAACAGATTGTTGTATGTTGTTTAGAGTCCATGCGATGTATGGACATATAAATTTGAGAAATAAATAGGGAAGGAGATGTCCAAAAGTGATAGTGATAAATCAACTAGTCCAGCCTTCCCTAATTTGATACCCTCTGAATACTGATCAATATTATTTGATTTATAATTTTACCTACTGTTTTTATATTTTTAATATTTTATTTGCACACTACCCATATAGTTCCTCTGAGGGAGATGGGCAGTTCCTAAATATGATAAACAAATAAAATAGAATTTATATTTATTATTGACTTAATTTTCTTAGCAACTTACATTCTTTGAATGGATTATAAAGATAATTTCTCTCTCCAGTTCCAGAATTCCCAACCCATATGTTCATTAACCATGTAGGCTGGAGAGTCTCAAAATTGCAGACAATACCAATATATTTCTAATAGCCTTTTTGCAATCTGATAAAAGTTCCAGGAGAAGTTTTGGAAAACTACTAAGTGCAAATTCTTCAGTTATCTATGAAACATCCATCTCTTTGCTTTCTAAACAGGAGCTCTTACAAAACACAAGTTTCTGCCCTAAAGCATTGAAAAATATTATTGGCTAGAATGTGAAACTAATCCAGTTGCTGAAATGTTGTAACCTCATTTTTTTCCTTTCTCAATAAACCTTGTGGAGAAAGACTCTGAGAGACAAACTAGATTTTGTTGAATTAACTGCCATAAGCTTGACAATATCTGGGATCTCAAGCTGGGAAAATATACACATATCTGTGCTCATAGGTAAAGGTAAAGGCTCCATATGTGCTAGTTGTTCCTGACTCTAGGGGGCGGTGCTCATCTCCATTTCAAAGCCGAAGAACCAGCGCTGTCCGAAGACGTCTCCGTGGTCATGTGGCCAGCATGACTAAATGCCAAAGGCGCATGGAACACTATTGCCTTCCCAGCAAAGGTGGTCCCTATTTTTCTACTTGCATTTTTTACGTGCTTTCGAACTGCTAGGTTGGCAGAAACTGGGACAAATCATTGGAGCTCGTTACGTTACGTGGCACTAGGGATTTGAACCGCTGAACTGCCAACCTGTCGATCGACAAGCTCACAGTCTTAGCCACTGAGCCATCATGTCCCTTCTCTGTACTCATATGTCCTGCTTATTCTCTTTCCATAAGTGGTCAAATGTCCAATGTCTATTAACCATTATGAATCTCTCTGTTCAAAATTAATATGAATAGATTTGACTTAGAAAAGTTCTGAGCATTTTACGGCCCCCAGTCTGCCCTTTGGCTATTCCTGTCCAGCCCATGTGAATTGCTTTTATTTTGAAGGTGACTGCTATTTTTTTCAGTTGACATATGTGTGTGGGTGCATGTCTACATAGCTTCACAGCCCTACTGGTTCAGCCCTATACAACAATCCCAGTTTCTCATGTGGCTGCTTGGGAAAATTAATTGCCCACCCCTGTTTTAGGAGCTCCTAGCTCTCCATAGATGAAGGAAGGTTGGTAGGATTTGCAGAATTCTAGACTAATCCAGTAAGTCTTCTTTTTTAAACTCAAAAGCTAGAACTGATGCTGAAAGTTTATGAATCAGCCTAGAATTAAAAACTTCCTCCCTCCTTATTTTCCAGATGTCCCTCAAGATTTGGCTTTGTCATCAGGCCTGGGGGCCTCAAAGGACTGGTGAGATCTTAGGGTAGTTCTGTTGCTGATCAAATCTCTTTTGTGTGATTAAAAAATTTTTTTTAAAAAAAATGTGTCTGTGTCTGACATGTTCATTGTTTTTATTTCCTTTTTAATTTTTTTTTTTTTTTTGCTGTATGCTGCCCAGAGTCATGTTGTGAGATGGGCAGCCACATAAATTTGATAAATAATAAATAAACTTCTTAAACAGCACTGATTGACAGCATCTATCAGAAATGGCTCCAAATTTATGCCAATTAAACCAGTACCTGTGGAAATATGGTTTTGGATAGACTAATGTATCTCCAAAGCACCTGAAGGCAGGACAAGGAGCAATGGATGGAAACTAATCGAGAAGAGAACCAACCTAGAACTAAGGAGAAATTTCCTGACAGTTAGAACAATCAATCAGTGGAACGACTTGCCTCCAGAAATTGTAAATGCTCCATCACTGGAGGTTTTTAAGAAGACATCGGACAGCCATTTATCTGAAATGGTATAGGGCTGTGATGGCGAACCTTTTTGCTGTCACATGCCAAAAGTGGGGGGAGCATGGGGGGTTGCACGCATGCGTACCCACATGCATAATTCAATGCACCCCAGGAAAGAAAGTAGGAAGGGATAGGGAAGAGGGAGAGGGTAGGTTTGAGGAGAAAGATTGCTGTACAATAAAAAAGATGAAGTGGAAGAAAGGCAACTCCGAACAAACAAATATAAATATATTAAGATAAAGAATGAATTGTTTAAGAATAAAAGAGAATAAATATGAATACATAGTAAAGTTAGAATCTAGGGACAAATGCAAGTTAGAATCTAGGGACTATGCAAGTATAGAAATATTGAAATATGGTTAAAAAAAGAAAAGAAAAGGGGGGGAAGATGATTTTGGCAAAAATTGTAATTGAGTAAAATGTATTTGAATTTGATTAATTGTATAAGATAAGAAACGACCAACACTCTGTTAAAAAAAAAAAAAGATGTGGGTGAATGTGGGAGAGGAGAAAAAAACCAAGAAAACTTGTTTAAAAAAAAAATTCAATGCGCCCCACCCCCCTGCGCATGTGCACGTGACCCCACATGCTCCCCCCACTTTTGGCACATGATGGCATGGTGGGCCTGGTAGGCCCATTTTTTGCCCTCCCCAGGCTCCAGAGGCTTTCTAGGAGCCTGGGGAAGGTGAAAACGGCCTTCCCCACCCCCCTGGAGGCCCTCCGGTGGTCCTCTGGAGGCCAGAAACAGCCCATTTCCCAATGTCTGGTGGGTCCAGAAGGCTGGAAAATCAGGTGGCCGGCACGCAGATGTGCGCTGGAGCTGAGCTAGGGCAATGCTCACGTGCCCACAGATATGGCTCCGTGTGCCACATGTGGCACGCGTGCCATAGATTCGCCATCACTGGTATAGGGTTTCCTGCTTGAACAGGGGTTGGACTAGAAGACCTCCAAAGTCCCTTCCAATTCTGTTATCCTGTTCTTCTGTTAATATATGTGATGAGAGATAGTTTGGTGTAGGGATGAAGGCATCAAGCTAGAAACCAGGAGACTGTAAGTTCTAGCCCTGCATTAAACTAGCTAGGTGCCTTTGGCCAGTCACTTTCTCTCAGCCCCACGACAGAGGCAACGACAAACCACTTCTGAAAACCTTGCCAAGAAAACCGCAGGGACTTGTTTTGATAAGAGTTACAGATTAACAGAATTGGAAGGGACCTTGCAGGTCATCTAGTCCAGTTTCCATCCATTTTGTCTTGTGCAGGCAGTCTCCAATTAATCAGGCACGACTAAATGGAAGAAAAATTAATGTACTCGTTTGTTTATTTAGCTAATGGTGGACCATCATAGAACTTAATCACCAGTCACATATTATGGCTGCCCAAGGGTTTAAACATGGCTGCCATTAAATTTTTGCAGACTTTATCATAAATGGAGCATGAATGTCAAATGCAACCCAAACCTTCATGTGTGTATTTGATATCGGCTGTTTATTCAGTTGTTCCCAGGTGTCTGATCCTTCCTCGCAGGCCTCCACGTAATAACCACGGACTGGTCCCGCTCCAGTATACAGAGGTGGCTCCCAATGGAGCATCAGAGAGGTATCTCTTACTTCCGTACATCTGACATCATAAGGAGGTCCTGTTTTAGAAGGAAGAGTGGATTTCAAAGCATGTATTCTGGAATACTGCAAAGATCCTTTAGACCAGGGGTGAAATGCTCCCGGTTTGGACTGGATCGCCCGATCCGGTAGCGATGGCAGCGGGTGGTTCAGAGAACCAATAGCAAAAATCCCTACCCCCCCTCCATGCACAGCTGAGCCGTGCGATCATCAGAGGCTTTTTTTTACTTTTAAAAGCATTTTTTCTACAACTTCTTCAACCGAAAAAATGCTTTTAAAAGTGAAAAAAAAAAAGAGCCTCTGATGATCATGCGGCTCAGCTAGGATTGTCAGAGCCTTTTAAAAGCATTTTTTTACAACCTCTTCAGCCGAAGAGTTGTAGAAAAAATGCTTTTAAAAGTAAAAAAAAAAAAAAAAAGTTGGCCACACCCACCCAGTCACATTACCCCCATGAAGCCACGCCCACAGAACCGGTAGTAACAAATTTTACATTTCACCATTGCTTTAGACCTGTGTCTCCCGACCTTAGTCATTTTAAGATGCATGGACTTCAACTCCCAAAATACTCCAGCCAGCATTGATCAAGTCAAGGAACTGATTCCACAAGAAATAGTGGATCTCTACTTTATTGATATAAACTATAATAAAATATTGACAGCCTGACACTCTGTTTTCTTCCTCCCAAAGTGAGTCAAGGTATAAATTGTTTACATTTGTTTCTAATGTTCTTTTCTCTTCTTTGCTTTAAATCATGTTTTATTTTGGAAGATACTGTTGTAGCCCGCCAGCGGCCAGTGGAACTGGTGGCAGACTCAGACAGTGAGGAGATTGGAGAGGAATATGGGCCAGTCCTGGAGCCTGTGGAAGGCTCTGACGAGTGCTCTGCGTCAGAGGCAGAGATGGGACCAGGGCCGTCTGACAGTTGTCAGCTGCCTTTGGAGTCGGATATCAGTGGGACAGAAGAAGAGCTGGAGCCTGTTCCCAGTGTGTGCATGCGCAGACCTGCCAGGAGAAGGGAACAGCTAAGGAACAAGGGTCGACTCAGGAGTAAAGGCACAGGTGGAAGGTGAATGGCCCCTCCCATAGGGAATAAAGAGGAACGAAAGAGGAGGGGAGTTTGCAGGAGACAATTAGTTCAATTCATTAGAGTGAAGATCTGTTCCTGACTTCTTGCCAAGTATTGTCTGCTACAGCGTGGCATTTGGAAGATATCGGCCTGGCAGCTCTCCAAGCCTGATAAAGGTCTGTAGTTATGAAATCTCTTGAAAGACTATTGGCCGGGACTTTGCTGGAGAGGAATTCCCTTTAAACTAAATAAAAGGGGTTTTATCGGGACAAGGAGCTGGCTTCTGTCCACAGTCAGAAGAGGTTTGGTGGACCACAAAAAGAATCATAGATATATAATATTATCATAGATATATTCTATTTTCCAATAAAAAAAAATGTGCAAATATTCTTGCCGCCGTTATATGTATTATTAAATATATATGTTCTTTACTGTACTTTTCTGAAAAAATACCCAACAGAAACAATTCTGGTTTTAAATCAATATGTTGCTGTGTCATCTTCTCTAGCCATATTCTAAGTCTTGCCCAATATTTTCTCGCTTCTGGACATGTCCACCACATATGATAATATGATCCCGGTATCTGATGACATTTCCAACATTTAGCTGATTTATCTTTAAATATTTTTGCCAATCTCTCTGGTGACATGTGCCATCTATAAAACAATTTATACAAATTCTCTTTATATACTGTGGCCATTGTTAATTTATAATTTCTTTCCCATAGTTGTTGCCATTTATCTAGCTCAACCTTATAGCCAAAATTTTTTGCCTATAGTTTTTTGCCCATATATAGTTTTCTGATCATTTTTTCCTCAGTTCCTGTGAGTATCTCATCCAATGTTGTCATTTCCAAATAAAAACCATATAATTTTGTATCTTTCCCATATCTCGCTTATATTTTCAACTGAGTATACCACTCCATTTCAATTCCTAGTTAATATTGGAAGGTTCCTTATTATTGAATCCAACTCCTTCAGTTTTGGAGGCTACAGGTGACCAAAGTTATATAGCTTTATATGCCCAAACATCCCATTTTATGAGTAATGCGGTTTGGATCTGTCCAAGATTAGATCTTTACCTGGTTCTGGCATTGTCCATTCCTCACATTTGAAAATATCACTGGGCTCCGACACCTTCCCGACGCCAACTATGTTCATGGCATAACCACGGAACTGATAAAATTGTCCTTCGTCCAGGTTGGTGACCTGTAGAATCACCAGAGATACTGAGCATTGTCCAAAGCCTTGCCTTGAAAAGAAGGCCTAGCATTTACAGAGACATGTCTTTGTATTCCTACTAAACCAGCCTTCTCAACTGGATGCCCACTCCTAGATATGTAAAATTCAACTCTCCAAATTCCCAGCCAACACAGCTAAAGAATTCTTGAAGTGAAAGAGGGAACTCGGGAAGCTGAAAGTATGAATTATCTGAAGTGCATCAAGATATGGAAATCTAGGTTAGTGAATATGGAAAAAGTTCTAGTGTCCACAATGTCATCCTGACAATCAAGCACCCATTTTAATTTTGTTTTTGCTTTTTTGGCAAAAGAAAAAGATTCAGCCATAATAAAAAATGGCTGCAATCTGAGAGAGAGCAGAGGTTGAGATCCCTGCCCAAGTCCAAATATGGCACTGGCACCATACCGTATAAACCCGTTCAGCAATGGGCTTAATGTTGGTCTCATGCCAGTCAGTCTGTGATGTTTCATGCTGATCCAAGAAATAGCCCAGAATCTTTGAACCACCTTTGCGTTTTGGAGACTTCCAGCCTATGGTCATGGTGTCCTTCCCACAGTTCAGCAGGGCAAAATCTCGTGGGGTGGAGGGAAGAGCTGCAAGGGAGGGAAAACATGAAAATATCATGGAAGATGGGCATCTCATCCGCATGCTGCTTCTCTGCTTAAACTCCTGAGGCAAATGTAGCCTCGGTATTTCCATTTTTGCCCATAATTGTTGAAAAATGGCAATGATCTTCTGCTATTTTTAGGCTGGAAATGTCAAAACAAAGATTTCCCCCATCATTTCCAAAGCTGAAGAAAAACAGAATCTTTGTCACATCCCAAAAAATTGTCTTGTCTCGTCTCGTCTCATTTCCATTCTTCCCCTTTCCCCCTTCCCCTTCCCCTTCCTTCTCTCCTCTCCTCTCCTCTCCTCTCCTCCCCCTTCCCCTTCCCCTTCCTCCTCTCCTCTCCTCCTCCACTTATCTGTTCTTGCCTTCCTCCTAGATTTCATGGTAGCACATAGTGACCCAAAGTTTCCCTGCCCCTACACAATTCATTCTTCCCAAACTTGATCTTCTCTAGATGTAGAATAGAATAGAATAGAATAGAATAGAATAGAATAGAATAGAATAGAATTTTTTATTGGCCAAGTGTGATTGGCCACACAAGGAATTTGTCTTGGTGCATATGCTCTCAGTGTACATAAAAGAAAAGATACGTTCATCAGGAATCATAAGGTACAACACCTAATGATAGTCATAGGGTACAAATAAGCAATCAGGAAACATTTAATATCAATATAAATCTTAAGGATCCAAGCAACAAAGTTACAGTTATACAGTCATAAGTGGAAGGAGATGGGTGGTGGGAATGATGAGAAGATCAATAATAATGCAGACTTAGTAAATAGTCTAGATGTATTGGATTACACTTCTCATCACAGCCAGCCATGGAGGCTGGCTATGGTGAAAGTTATGATTTGGTAGCACCAGGTTGAAGGAGGGTGCTCTGGATCAGATGCAGGTAGAGGGATCACACAATATCACAATAGGTACTTACAGATTGCCTGTCTCACAAGAATGGGATCAGATTCTGGGGAGCTTTCTCCTACACCAGCTTCATTGACACATTTGACACAGAAGACGTATTGTTTGCCAGTCTTGAGTCCTGGAACAGTAAATCTAAGAAACAAAACAGCAAGTCACCCATCCATTCTCCAATGTTACTTCTTAGTACTGGTTTATCACACCGGAGCAGTGTTTCTGAATCTTAACAACTTTAAGGTGTGTAGACATCGACTCCCAGAATTGGGAGTCTGGGGAATTCTGGCAGTTGAAATCCACCCACCTTAAAGTTGCCAAGATTGAAAAACAAAACACTAGAGACTCTAAGTATAAAACAGTGGAAGCTTTCAGTCACCTTGGAACATATTGGCTATTTTCATACAACACAGTGAATTTGGTTACCAAATTAACCTATTTTATGGGTATATATAAGGGATGTGGTGGCTCAGTGACTAAGACACTAAGCTTGTCAATTGAAAAGTCGGCAGTTCAGCAGTTCGAATCCCTAGTGCTGCTGCATAACAGGGTGAGCTCCCGTTACTTGTCCCAGCTTCTGCCAACCTAGCAGTTCGAAAGCAGGTAAAAAACGCAAGTAGAAAAATAGGGACCACCTTTGGTGGGAAGGGAACAGCGTTCTGTGCGCCTTTGGTATTTAGTCATGCCGGCCACATGACCACGGAGACATCTTCGGACAGCGTTGGCTCTTCGGCTTTGAAACGGAGATGAGCACTGCCCCCTAGAGTCGGGAACGACTAGCACATATGTGCGAGGGGAACCTTTATGGGTATATATATCATAAAAAACCAATATAGCTTAGATTCACAGACCTTGCTAAACCAACAAGCAACTAACCAAATTTAGCACAGTGTGAATGCAACCATGAGGTCTGCCAGATGAGAGATGGTAGACAGTTGTAATCAGCAGGATACTTTCAACAATGACACTGACTTTGCCAATTGTCCTTCCAAAGGACAATTTATCAGGTTATGATTGACCTTTCTAGTTGCTTAGATAAACCATCTCTAACTAATTTATTTTAAAGTGCTGATATCTCTGTGCTGTTATCTCCAAGATGAACATACCAGTGGGTTGCTCCCAGTTCGCACCGGTTTGCAAGAACCGGTAGTAAAAATTTGTACTAGTTCCGAGAACTGGTAATAACATTGGCTGGCCACACCCCCGAACTGGTCCCTGGCCTGGTCACTTACCCCGACCACCTCATCAGAGGGTTTTGTTTTTTTTACTTTTAAAAGCATTTTTTCTACAACCTCTTCAGCAGAAAAAATGCTTTTAAAAGTAAAAAAAAAAAAAAAGGCCACGCCCACCCAGTCACATTACCCCCCAACAAGCCACGTCCACAAAATAAGCCACGCCCACAGAACTGGTAGTAAAAAAATTTAGAACCCACCCCTGGAACATACTCTAATTGTTGTTTGGAACGCCATTCTTTTTTAGATCTTGATTAGATAGATGAGCTGCTTCTAAGACAAACCCAGTAAACGAAGAAGATTCCATGAGCATCCCTTTGCCCATTGCAACCAGTTCCTTTGTTGCCGAACAAAACTAGAGTCTTGAAAAGGGAGAACATCTGGACTAGCTCCATGGACCTGAATCCACATGATAACAACATCCTTCCTTTCCTTGTTTTGAAACCACAAAACAGGGTACCATTTTCCCACTCCTCTCCCAGAAAGGCCTAAAAGCTACAGAGATGGAAAGAATCACCAAATGAACTCACTCGTGACCAGTGACAGGTTTATTATTCACTGTCTGCCATTCATCTGTCCCAACTTCCCGGCAATAGATGTAATAACCCAGTGGTTCCTCTCCTTTTCTTGGCTTGCTCCACTGCACAACCACAGATGTCTTGGTATCTCTGAAAGCCAGGACCTGAGATGGGGGTGGAAGCGGAGCTAAAAAGAAAAACAAAAGATGGGAAAAAATAGAAACTTAAAAGCAGTAGCTACTTGAAGATCATTATGCTTCCTTTCAACTCTTCTCCAATCTCAGCTCAACTAGTGTTTTCTCAACCTCAGCAACTTTAAGACATGTGGATGTCAATTCCCAGAATTCTCCAGCCAACAGCAGGATTTACTAGATTTTATTTAGTAGCACATATGTGCTACTCGTTCCCGACTCTAGGGGGCAGTGCTCATTTCCGTTTCAAAGCCGAAGAGCCAGCGCTGTCCGAAGATGTCTCCGTGGTCATGTGGCCTGCATGCCTAAACGCCAAAAGCACACAAAACGCTGTTACCTTCCCACCAAAGGGGGTTCCTATTTTTCTACTTGCATTTTTTACGTGTTTTCGAACTGCTAGGTTGGCAGAAGCTGGGACAAGTAACGGGAGCTCACCCCGTTACGTGGCACTAGGGATTTGAACCACTGAATTGCCGACCTTTCGATCGCTACTGAGCCACCGCATCCTTCTAGATTTTATTTAGTGACAATTAAAAGAAAAAGAATGAGAGATTACCAATCTTTTTTCCCAGAGAGATAGGGTCACTGGGCAAAGAAGGATTGCTCACTCCATACTTGTTCACCGACCGTACTCGGAAACAATAGGATTTTGCCTTCTCCAGACCAAAGACAGGGAAAGTGGTGGAACTGACTGGCATATCCAGATTAATCATCTGCCATTTGTCACTCCCCGCGATTGACTGAAAAGACAGAAAGAAGGCCACCATTATTTGTCATAAAATGGGCTTCTATCAGCCTGGGACAACAGGTTTTCTGCTAGGAGAAAAGGATGACCAACCCTGCATTTTCATGTCCAGTGAACTAATGTGGAAATCTGGAAATCCACAGGAATTGACTTAGTAAGGCTCAAATTATAGATCTTAGAAGAAATTATGGAGAGTTGCATAACCTGTGATGCAGAGGTGGGTTTCAGCAGGTTCTGACCAGTTCTGGAGAACCAGTAGTGGAAATTTTGAGTAGTTCGGAGAACCGGTAGTAAAAATTCTGGCTGGCCCCACCCCCATCTATTCTCTGCCTCCCAAGTCCCAGCTGATCGGGAGGAAATGGGGATTTTGCAGTAACCTTCCCCTGGATTGGGGATGGAATGGAGATTTTACAATATCCTTCCCCTGCCACGCCCACCAAGCCATGCCCACCAAGCCATGCCACGCCCACCAAGCCACCCCCACAGAACCAGTAGTAAAAAATTTTGAAACCCACCACTGCTGTGATGTAGAAATTAGAATGTTGCCTATTGACTATGGCTCTCCTCCATTTGGTGGCCTACCATGAAATCTAAAAACTAGCAATGTGCATGTTAGTATTTTTCTATCCTTCATCTACCTTCTGTAACCTCTTTTTTTCTGCCATGTCCCCATGATGTTGCCCTTATCTCAATCCTGATGAAGGTCATCAGGATTGGTGGACAGTTAGTCTTAGTCCTCAAATTTGTTTGAGAAAGAATTTGGTTTGGAAGAACCTGAATGAAGTTCAGGCTAATCTAAAGGTAGTTTTAGATTACTGATCTACTGATTGCTCTACTGTATCTTGCAACTGTGTCGTCTTCTTACCTTTTCTATATAGTAATTCAGTGGCTCTTTGCCTCTGGGATTTGGTTCATCCCAGGAAAGGATCACATAATCTTCTCTGGTCTCACTGGCATGAACATTGGTGGGAGGCAATGGGATCTTAATCTCAGCTATAGGAAAGGAGAGTTAAAATAGCCATCACACACTTTAGTGATACCAGATTTGCAACAAGGAAATAATAGCTAGGTTGGTAATATGGTATTCTCCAGTAAAGTTGGACTTCACTTCCCATACTTTCTCACCCAAGTCCAACCTATCTGGAGAGCATGACTGCTACGATAGAATCAAGGGATGTGTCTATAAAGGAACAATACAGCTGAATATCAAAATTTTGTCCACAGAAGCTCTTTGCTTAGTTCTTGGCATCTCCAAGAGAATGTACTTTTTAGACCCCGGAAAATCACTGGCAGTTGGGTAGAAGATACTCAACTAGATTAAGTTCTGGTCCAATTTAAAGGCAGCTTCCTGGATAACTCTTTTGTTACAAGAACTTCCATTTGTAGTGGAAAGGACAAATTCTAAAATTGCTACTCCTCAGAATGTATAAGTAATTCAATGTAACATGAAAACACCTCTGGAATAGAGTACTTATCGGAGGAGTACTTAAGGAATGAAGTTGTCTATGAACTTACGTTCCAGTTCATCTTTCGAAACTATAATTGTCCTCATCCCATCGTCATAAGGAATGTCTAATCAAAGAAAAAGAAAATTAATGAGTTGGAAGCCACACATTACAATTTATAGGTATATAAATTATAGTTCAGTTGAATTGTCAAACTGAATCGACCATTGGATTGCTTGATTAATTTGATTAATTCAACCAAAGGGAATATTTGGTTGCTCAATCTAGCAAAATCTTTTTTGCTCCTTGGATGCGTTGGCATAGGATACTCATTCTTTGTACCACAACTCTTTTACTTGAGGTTATTGGTGGCCCGCATTGTCTTGAAGACTTCCTTCAATTCTTGTGAACCTTCACATGGTCAAAACCAGGAATGACGTACTTAGCAACCTCTTGGCCTCATTGGGATCGATCATTGTCACAGGGCTGCTGGCCTTCGAAGGGTTACTGATTCCTGCACAATTGACAGCCTTCACTCGGAACTGGTAAGTCTTTCCTTCTGTGAGACCCAAAACTGGTGACCTGCAAGTTTTCACCAGCTGGTCATTGTAAGGAACCCATTCATCTGTGCCCATTTCACACCTGGAAGGCAAAATTAACACTTTTGCACAATTGATTGTGATCTCAAAAATAAATAAATAAAAAGGAGGGAGGGAGGAAGATTGGACGACTATAGAGTATGAACCTTTCAATGTAATAACCAATGATGGGGCTTCCACCATTATCACTGGGAGGTATCCATGAAAGTATGAGGCTGTTTTTGTTCACATCATGACATTGTACGAGGAGAGGAGATCCGGGAGCACCAGCTGTTGCAGCTGCAGCATCTGAGAAGGAAAGGAAGCTATCGTGAGATTGTTGAATCAAGACAAAGGACATCTCACTTTTATCTGCCATACCCTGAAATCATTGTTGGTGATGGGAAGCGTTCACTATCATAAGTACAGTACTCACAGTGTTGGCTGGACAGCAGAGACAAGGTTCATCTGAGTAACTTTGGGAAAGTCACTTCCACAACCTTGAGAAAGGGCCATTTATTGTATGTATATATGGTGCTGTGAGTTTATGAAGGAAATCAGAGATATAAAGCTAACTCCTAATCTGTTTTTATTTCTCGCTGGCTTTCTCTTGCCCTTCAACTAGCCAGCCTTCTTCAACTAGATGGACTCTAGAAGTCTTATTTATTTATTTATTTATTTATTGGTTCGATTTATTTTCCAGAGACTCAGGGCAGCTTACAATGCGTTAAGCAATAGCCTTCATACTTTTGTATATATCTGCTTAGTAGGGCTTTCGCACCCCGCACCCCAAGCGGTGTTCTTTTTTATACAAAGTCAGCTTATTGCCCCCACAAACTGGGTCCTCATTTTACCTACCTCGAAAGGATGGAAGGCTGAGTCAACCTTGAGCCTGGTGAGATTTGAACTTGCAGTAATTGCAGGCAGCTGGTGTTACTTAACAGTGCTTTAGTCTGCTGTGCCACCAAGGCTCTTAGTCTTAGGGTTGTAGTCTTGGTCTACAACCCCATCAATCTTCGCTAGTACCAATCGTGATTGTGGGAGGGGACTATATTCTCCATATAGATAATCCTCAATTTACAATCACAATTGGGGGCTGTAAATCAAGATCTATAATCCCCACATATAGTATAGGAACCACAGTCAGATACATCTGAATATCATCAGGCTGAGGGAAACTGCTCAAGTGTAGGTTTTTCAAACTGTGCTCCACAGGATTTGGGGGGTGGGTTTTCCTGTGAGAGACACTTAGGACACCTTTCATGGTCAAGCTGAGTAAGAGTTGTAAGAACAACAGTCTAGTTCAACTGGAATCTATTAGTTGGAAAAGGTTGGTTGAAACTTCTTAGGCTTTTGAAATAATATATATAACAGGGGTGTCAAACATAATGTCCGGGGCCTGATCCAGCCCACGGGGTACTGAGATCTGGCCCATGGGGCCGCCTTGGAAAAAGTGAAGGACCGGCCCGCAGTGCCTCTGCCAGTGAAAATGGAGCTCGGGAAGGTCACAGGCGGCCCTCCCAAGCTCCATTTTTGCTGGCAGAGGGCTGCAGGAGGCCATTAGAACTGAGAATGGAGCTCGCGCAGCCCTCCCAAGCTCCATTTTTGATGGCAGAGGGCTGCAGGAGGCCGTCACAACTGAAAATGGAGCTCGTGCAGCCCTCCCAAGCTCCATTTTTGATGGCAGAGGGCTGCAGGAGGCCATTAGAACTGAGAATGGAGCTCGCGCAGCCCTCCTGAGCTCCATTTTTGCTGGCAGAGGGTTGCAGAAGTCGCCGCAGCCGAAAACGGATCTCAGGAGACCGTTTTCTGTGGCAGAGCACTCGGGCCACCCCAGGTGCCCCTGACACAAAGGACATCGAGCTGGCCATGCCCAGCCATGCCCACCCAAACACAACCCTGATGCGGCCCTCAATCAAATCAGGTTTGACACCCCTGATAAATAATATTAAATTGTCAGATCAATTACTGGTGAACATACCCCTAACAAACACATAAGCTTTTTGTTCATTGTAGCCGTCTTGTGTTGGGATGCGGATGCTGTAAAAGCCTTCATCCTCCTTGTAAGCACAGGATACCGTCAGGGTTGCCTCCCGGTCCCCACATTTTGTTTGCCGGCGGTCAGAATCTTTCAGCAACTCACCTGCCATACAGGACATAAGCATCACCTTGTTTTTATCCAGTCAGTGCATTCATACTAGAGATGATACTTAGCACATGCTCAGAATCTAGAATCCTGAACATGTTCAGATTTTGCTTGTAAAATGTGCTGTCTGTGTCAAACAGTAGCACGTTAGTTAAAATAATAATTTTAAAAATGATAACTCCTCTTTCTCCTCCTCTCCCACCACCAGCAAAAGCACTATTGGGGAACAAGTCCTATTGGTGGATATATCCCAAAGGTGCTTTTTTCAAGAGGCAACTGGACTTTCTCTTTTTTCTTTGAAGACGTTTCGTTTCTCATCCAAGAAGCTACTTCAGCTCTGACTGGATGGTGGAGGAATGGAAGGATTTATAGTCCTTTTGAGACAGCTGGTCATTTGCATCCTTTTTGAGAGTCGTTGAGGCCACCTGGAGCTTTGTCTGTGTCATCAGGGTCACCCAAGTAGTGCAAATGGGTGTGGAGCCTTTTGGGAACTGTTGAAAGGACTGAGTTGTAGACTGGAGATAGATTGTATCCCTCCCCTCTCTCAACCTCTGTTGAGAGAGGGCTGTTCAATTTTGACATAGATGGCCTCTTTGGCCCCTTCTTTCAAAGCTAAAAGAGGTCGGAGCTGAAGAAGCTTCTTGGATGAGAAGCAAAATGTCTTCAAAGAAAAACCAGAAAGTCCAGTTGCCTCTTGAAAAAGCACATTTGGGACAACCATGACCTGATGACTGAGAATCTCCAGAAACATTGGTGGATATATTTTAAGGCAAGTCTTCAACAACTGGCAACAATTAGTAGACCCCAGCCGATCTCAGAAGCTAAAAAGATCACCCTTGGTTAGTCTATAGATCAGGACTGTCAAACTCCTGGCCCTTGGGCCGGATGCATCACGTGCTGGCCACGCCCACACCCAGTTTAGCAAAGGGGAAACCAGACCTGATACGTCACATGACGCCACGATGATGATGTGAGTTTGACACCCCTGCTATAGATGGACAATCTCCTGGATATACCAGTCATGTTGGTTAGATTGGAAGGACAAAATTCATTCTTGCAGAAATCAATGGCGAACTAGTTTCAAAAATGCTACCAAGAATTTTGGATGGATGCAGTCACTAGGAGTACAAATAAACTTGACTTGAGTTAAGGACACTTTTATCCATAATAAGGAGCAACCTGATTCTCCTTCCCATTTAAAATACTAATTCACATGATAAATGAAAATGTTGGAACCTGGGACATAGATAGTATGGCAATTAAAATCACGAACACGTGAAAATTGTGATAAGGAGAAATTCTCCAGTTTATTTTATTGGTTTGCCTAGGATGAACTCAAATAATTTTCCCCACCCTGGTGAGGAATTTCTTTAAGACATGCAACTGAAACTATGAGATGCCTTGGGCTATTCTTCTGGGTTATGACCTATAAAAACTAAAGACAGATCATCAAGGCTATATAGACTTTTCAGAACAACGAGGTAGTTAAGATATCTGCTAGATCGCCACATGACATGACTCCCTATTTCCCTAAAAATAATGTTTTGACTTTTCTGAATTCTTACAGCTTGACATGAGATGTCCCAAAAAATCTCATGCAAGAATTCTGGAAATCATCTGGAAACCTCAAAAAATTTTGATAGGTTTTGCATGAGATCTTGATCATTTGGGTAGGTGATAGATCTCTCTGATAACTCTATGAAGATGTGAAAACTGTTGGCTTAGGTCAGGGCTCATTGTATTATACAAACTACTGAAATGAATTAATTCAGTTACCAAGTAAAGGGTGTTTTGTTTTGTAAAAGCACTGTCATATAATTGGCATCCAAAGATGGGGAACAAAAGGCTGCTAAACCTGATGCAGCATATTTTGATGCTTTCTCATGCAGCATTGTGGCTACATATACAAACCGTCACGGAACCAGGAAATGTTTCGTTGGTATTCCTGAAGATCTGAAGTGAAAGTGCAGAAGACGGTGAACGGTTCCTTCTCTCTAGCAAAGATGGGCTTCAATGTGCTGGCAAAGTCAGCTTCTATGTCTCTGAGTCTCTCTAAGAAGCAAACAAGATGTTGGGTTAGAAAGAAGAAAGGGTGGGCTTCAAAAATTTTAGCAAGGGGTTCGCTGCCTGGTTGCTGGGTGGGCGAGGCCATGGTGGGCCTGCACTTACCTGCACCCTGCACTTACCTGCATCCAAAACGGGCTGTGTGTGGACTCCTGGGAGAGGAGGGGTGAGATGGGCGGGGCCAGCCAGGAATGGGATTTGGGGGTTCTCCAAACCGCACAGAATCTTAGCTAGAGGTTCTCCCGAACCCCTGCGAACCCCCAGCAGCCCACCCCTGGAAAGATGGTTGATCATTGATGGTGAAAAAAGAATGATAGTCCTCTTCTGACTTGGGGCATTTCTGACCCATTTTTTCCCCACAATGTGCCCGGAGCAGTTTGAATCTGTTCTTCAGCTATGCCAGTCTTAATGCAGAGATCACCATGTGTGTGTGTGTGAGAGAGAGAGAGCAGGTGAAAAGAGGTCCCATGTTACCACTTACCAAAACGTATCTTTTCAGGTGTCTACATATGATATGCTTTGATGTGCATTATAGCTGCTAATTCCCCATCATCACTATTGGGTGCCCTCAATGACGTCTGGGTCTTTCTTCCCAGCTTTTACTAAGCGGAAGTACAGATAGTCCTCGCTTAATGACTGTGTTCCAAGTTACAACAGACCTCTCCAGAGCTGCTTATGACTTAGTTTCAAAGTTACAATGGTTGCTCCCCTCCCTTGTGATCACTTGATTGCATTTTTGGCACTGGGCTACTGGCCCACATTTATGGCCATGTACAGCATCCCACATCTCCATGATTTTTGGTATTTTGGGCCAGTTTCTGGTGTTTACTTTCAGTTTCCAGCAAAAAACTCCCATTGGGTATAATGGGTTCATTTAATGACTGTGTTGTTTGCTTAATGACTGCTGCAAAAAAAGTCCTAAAATCAGGCCCACTTAATAACTGCTATAACTTACTACTAAAATTCCAGACTCAATTATGGTTGTAAACTGAGGACTATCTGTAACTGAAAATATTTACAGACCCCTCACATCCTGGACATAAACTGTTTCAACTCCTACCCTCAAAACGATGCTATAGAGCACTGCACACCAGAGCAACTAGACAGAAGGACAGTTTTTTCCCGAACGCCATCACTCTGCTAAACAAATAATTCCCTCAACACTGTCAAACTATTTACGAAGTCTGCACTACTATTAATCTCATCATTACCACCACCCATCTCCTTCCACTTACGACTGTATGACTGTAATCTTGTTGCTGGTATCCTTATGATTTATATTGATATTGTTTCCTGATTGCTTATTGGTACCCTAGGACTATCATTAAGTGCTGTACCTTATGATTCTTGATGAACATATCTTTTCTTTTATGTATTCTGAGAGCGGATGCACCAAGACAAATCCCTTGTGTGTCCAATCACATTTGGCCAATAAAAATTCTATTCTATTCTGTTCTGTTCTGTTCTGTTCTGTTCTATTCTAACAAGTCTAAGATTGCTCTGGAATAGGATTTCTCGTTTTCTTCTGTTCCATGTAGATTCCAAGAGTCTTAAAATCTGCACAGAAGCCCTTCCCCTTTTGTATGTGCAACAATGCTACATCCATGTAGAAAAAGGGTTGAGCTTTGATCATGACTCCAGACCAGAGCTGTCAAACTCCCGGCCCGATATGGGGGAAAAAAGTCCCGATACGTCACATGGCCTCAGTGACGACGTGAGTTTGACAGCCCTGCTCCAAACACTCCATCTGGCAGATTTTGGTACCTCCTACTGATGCCCCTACAGGGTGTGTGCACAACATCCTTAATCAGGTCAAGTAAATAGCTAACAGCTGCAATCACACAGCTCAGTCAGACTGGTTATTTTTAATCGTAGTTGTTTTGAAATTAAATCACTATATAAGCTCAGCCTGCTTAGTTAGCGCATGTTTTCACATATTGTACAAATCCTTATTAAGGGGTTAATTCCGTGACCGCATTAAAGCATGTTGCAGGAACCTATTTTATTTCTGCTATCGTTGCAATCCGAGTCTTGCTTTCTTTTCACCTCTGGTTCATTTTAAACCATCTTTAAAATGGACCAATCAAACAGTTGCACTATGTACGTGCATGATTCGCTAAATCCAAGAAAAAACAACCTTTATAAAGGACCATAAACGTCTACTCACGTTTATAGATTTCTGAGTCAAATCCAGATTCCATCCCATAATATTCTACAAGAGAGTAGAGGGGAGTTGATGGAGGAGTGGGAAAGGAAGAGAGGGAGAAATACAGGCATTGATAAAGGTGCATCTCACTGTTTCGTTTGCAAATAAGAATGTACAGTTGGTTGTTGAAAACTTTGACCTAAAGGATTCGTATGGATGAAGTCAAGTCAAGGTCAACTTTTTAAGGTTGGACTCACCATCTGACTTGCCCCAGCAAGAGGCCAGTTCAGTGTCATGTCTTAAGGAAAGGAACACACATTGCCCTCAATCTACCCCAGCCCACCATGGTCTCTGCCCATTTCTTCTTGCTCTGCATCCAAAATAGCATTTTTCGACTTCTGCTGGCACAAATGTGGCTGTGACTCTAGGGGGTGGTGCTCATCTCCATTTCAAAGCCGAAGAGCCAGCGCTGTCCAAAGAGGTCTCCGTAGTCATGTGGCCGGCATGACTAAACACCAAAGGTGCATGGAACGCTGTTACCTTCCCACCAAGGGTGGTCCCTATTTTTCCACTTGCATTTTTTACGTGTTTTCAAACTGCTAGGTTGGCAGAAGCTGGAACAAGTAACAGGAGCTCACCCCATTACACGGCGCTAGGGATTTGAACCGCTGAACTGCCGACCTTTCGATCAACAATCTCAGCCTTTTAGCCACTGAGCTACCACATCCCAGTTTGTTTGCTTTAGTTTCGACAAAAACCAGATTGAGAACTTCTAGTCTGAAACACACTTGGCATAAAACTGATGGAAAACTGCAAAGGAGGACCGAATTGGCAATCGCTCTCAACCAGGTGTTTTCCAGTTGTTGGGCTACCCTCCCACATCTAACTAGGGGAGTGCTGGGAATCCTTTTCCAACATGCCTGAAGGAGAATAAAAAATTGGCAAAGTTTGGATTAATGGATGAGTAATGGGTTAGAAAACAATTGGGAGGACTCCTCAGGAGTTGAAACACGCATCGCTTGTATTGTAACAGTGCATCTGAGGAAGAAATATCTTTCATGCAGAGAACATCTGACTTTGCAAGAATGTTTTTGCATTTGTCAAAGTCAAGTCGAGACTTACTCCTGACAAATACGGTTGCAAATGAGTTGGCTTCTCCATAAGAGTTTTTCACTTCCACGCTGTATTCGGCAGAATCATCCAAAGAGCATCTGAAAATCAAAGCAAACGACACTGTGAGATGCTCCAGTTGTTTCATATTTGACCAAAAGCAGGGTTTTCCCAGCTAGAGCATGCTGGCTGGGGAATTCTAGGAGTTGAAGTCCATTCATCTTAAACTTGCTAAAGTAGGGAAACACTGGCCTAGATGTTAAAAGCAAACGATGTGGTCACTTTCTATCTCTTTCTATCTGAACTTCATTACATGATTTGTGGATTTTGATTTCTCTTCACTTGTTTTCACATAACAATCTCTTAACCTCTGCTGATAGGATTCATTTTTTCCAGATCACATGATGTCTAGCTGTAAGTTGAAGACATATAGTGGTCCAGTATCTGATTTTTAAAAATATGAATGATGCTGCACTTCAGTGGTTAGATGGCCTAGTCATTGATATTTGAACATAGATCTTTTTATCATTTATATTTTATTGTGTTTTACTCATGTTAATTTATATTGCTAGTCCATGTGTGATGTCCCATACATTCGATCAGTGATGGCTAATCTTTTCCGGACTGAATGGTCAAAGTGTGTGCATGCGTGCGCCTGAACACCCAAAATGCAATGTGTGCATGGCCTCCAGACATGCACCCCCCCCACGCATGCATGCCTGTCTCCCCTGCACGTGCCCCACCCCCTACATGTGCCCCCCTGCACACATCCCGCCCCCCGCATGCATGTGTGCCCCCTTGCATGCACCCTGCCCCCACACATGTGTGGGAGAGACCTGAAGACCAGCTCATTGGCGGGAGGCGCGTGTGCATGCATGGCAGACCTGAACCGGGGCAATGATTTGCATGCCCACAGAGAGGGCGCTGTGTGTTATCTCTGGCACGCTTGCCATAGTTTGCCATCACGGCACTAGATAATATTTTTTTCATACATAGAAACATCAATTGATCCAGATGGTTTGTGCACAAAAACTATCCAAGTGTAGAACTAACCAAGGTCAAAAGTCATCAAACTTAACAACTTGCAAAAGTGCAGTTGTCTATTCGTTAGTGAGCTGAGTTAATGTGGGATGTAATCACAACCTTTGTTTTCTATTGCTTTCTTAACTTTGTGACATCCCTTTTCTTCGCGAGTTCTTACAATCATCCTAAAAATTAATCCTATTTAGATTTTATTTATTTATTTATTTATTTTTAAATTTGTATACCGCCCTTCTCCCTGAGGACTCAGGGCGGTGAACAGCCAAGTAAAAGCATAAACTACAAACATTAAAATACAATTAAAAAGATATATATAAATTTGGCCCCAGATTAATCCGTTACCTCCTGATATCTAAGGTAAGCATTCCAAATTCATTCTTCATTTTGTATTTCCCCGCTGGAGCAACACGAGGATCAATTCGAACACCATTTTTAAACCTGGTCAGGTGCAAAGGGAAGGAAAATATGAAGATCGTTAAGGGATGTTTCTGCAAATGTTGAAAGTCCACCAAGATTTATCACATAGGTTTATTCCCTTTGAATTGTAAGGCAGGCAGAGTCATTGACTAAGTGAGACGACTACAGAAACTGAAGGCATGAACAAATGAACACATTGAAAACTATTTGAAATAAGAGTTTCCAATTTCATTAAAGCAGTTAAACTTTTATCAGGCTGTGCTGTTCCCACAGGAGGTCCACAGCATTTCTTTCCACACGTTTTCTAAATAGTTTTTATCCCAGAGCTCTAATTGCACTCAACAATGAACTAAAGGGCCACCATCAGTGAGCTGTTGGACAGCATTACTTGGTCTGTTGTGTGGATATTTGGGTGGTTTAGGGGTGGGGAATTTGTGGTGGGTGGGGGTGTGTTTGGGGATTGTTATGTGTGTTGGACCTGGTCTTTGGGTGTTAAGTGAATTTCGTTGTATGGGTATACTGTGTATAAACATACAATGACAATAAAGCTATTATTATTATTATTATTATTATTATTATTATTATTATTATTATTATTATTTAATCTTTAGTGAGATTCACAGCCTTTGAGGCTGGTTAATAGCTCAGCAGCTCAAGTCCTAGCCAAGGATGTAGGAACTGTTAAGGTATCGTCGGAGATGTAAGCTGTTCCAAGTAAGGTGTTTTTTTGTAGGGTCAAAATGTTCAAGTCTGGCAAATTTAGAATTTCTAAATAGCGGGGTAGCCCTTTGGGTATTGCTCCAAGGGCTCCAATTACAATCGGGACAACACACGATTTCTTTTTCCATAGTTGCTCAACTTCAATTTGCAAGTCCCGGTACTTTGTGATTTTTTCTTGCTGCTTATCTTCAATCCGTGCATCACCAGGTATTGCAATGTCAATGAACCACACTTTTTTCTTTTCAACTATTGTTATGTCAGGTGTGTTGTGGACCAAGTGCCTGTTAGTCTGAATCCTAAAGTCCCACAAGATCTTGAGTTTCTCATTCTCTAAAACTTTCTCAACCTGATGTTCCCAGTGGTTTTTGCTGGACTCAAATCCAAACTTCTGGCACAATTTCCAGTGAATAATCTTAGCAACACGGTCATGGCATTATTATTATTATTATTATTATTATTATTATTATTATTATTATTATTTCAAATAATCTAGTGTCTTTCGTATGTGAAGAGTTTCCAAACAGGTACAGAACTCTTATCCATCTATTTATGGGGTCCTTGGTGCTCTTTGTTTTCCTTGCAAACATTTCTTTACCAAACTAGGTAACATCATCATCATCATCATCATCATCATCATCATCATCATCATCAATTTATTTATAGTTTTGGCATTTGTGAAATATCTTCCACTACCATTAAAAAAAAAAAAAAGACCAGCTGAAGGGGAATGTGATGTTATGAAGAAGCCCCATAGAAAGCAAGTGAAAAAATTTTGGTTGTTTTACAAAAAAGGGAAGTGCTTGTAAGAGCAACCACAGATTTCCAGAGAGAATAACTTTTGAGCTAAATCAAAATTTAACCCCAGATCGGATGGTTTCTGAGCAGATGCATTCTTTAAAACCTCCTTCTGGAATTCGGGTGACGCATTTAACGTTTTCCAACTGTAAACTCTCTCACCTGCGGAGGAGGAAGCTATGTTGATTTCATTCACAACATCGCTTAAAAGAAACCAAACAAACAAGCACGCAAGCAAAGCAGAGGATCAGCTAGAATGAAATCAGTTCTTCCCATATCTGCAACAAGACATAACATGTCCTACTAATTGTAGGGAATAAGCAATAGCCCTTGCACATTTAAATGCTCCTTTGGGAAAAATAAATCCTCACCTGCATAAAAGTTCTCCTTCTTGCTATTTTTCTGTGAACAGGATCAAATATTCAACCATGTCCACCTTTCTAAGCCCAAAGGATACAATCCTGAAAAGTCAGCAATCTGCAGATGAGGTCAAGTCAGGGGTGAAATGCTACCAGTTCGCACTGGTTTGGGCAAACCGGTTGTAATAAAAGCTACCAGTTCAGGGAAACTGGTAGTAAAAAATGCTACCAGTTCGTCTGAACTGGTATTTCCGGCGATCAGCTGTGCCGCGCGATTTATATTTGCTAGAAAGCAGAAAATCTTGCTTTCTAGCGAATCTAAATCGCGCGGCACAGCTGTTCTCCCCCCCTTGCTGTTCTACTTACCTTCTTAAGTCTCCTTTTTCCATGTGAAGCATGTGTTTGATGTGCATTGTGCATGTGCATGCACATGCACAGCGCGTGTTTAGTGCACACTGCGCCTGCGCACGCAGCAAACCCATGGCAAACCTTGGAGGATTTCAACACTGGGTCGTGACTTTTTCAGAACATGAGAATAACTGAGTTGGAAGGGATTTAGAGGCCTTCTAGTCCAACCCCCAGCTCAAGCAGGAGATATCATACTCTTTCAGACAAGTGGCTATTCAATAGAGGAGAGCATTTGTAGCTCTATTGAAACTATGGTTAAAGCCATCTATATCTTTTCACAACATACAGACAGATTTAACCATAGTTTCAGTTAAGAAAATGTGACCATCCTAGTCCAAGCCAAGTCCAACAATGCCAGGGAATTTTTTAGAAGCCTGGCAATCTGACAAATTAGCCATCAATAGACAGATAGACATTAAAACATCTATAGGCTATGCAAAAGAGACAATCAACCAGCCCAAAAGAGAACAAAGAAGACTCTAGCCATCCCTCCACCAGGAATCAGTACTCAGATCAGCACAGATTAACTCCAAGGTTAACATCAGACCAACAATCAAGTAAACAAAACCCCAATCAAGAAACCTCCAAAGAAGCCAACAGTAAACAGCCCTAACCAAAGAATCTCTAAGACTGCCCCCATACCACTGATAGGCAAGCCACTAGAACAGGGCAGGGGTAAAATCCAACAAGTTCTGACAGGCTCTGGAGAACCAGTAGCGGAAATTTTGAGTAGTTCAGAGAACCGGCAAATACCACCTCTAGCTTGTCCCAGAGTGGGGTGGGAATGGAGATTTTGCAGTATCCTTCCCCTGGAGTGGGATGGGAATGGAGATTTTGCAGTATCCTTCCCCTGCTATGCCCACCAAGCCATGCCCACCAAGCCGCGCCCACAGAACCGGTAGTAAAAAAAAATGGATTTCACCACTGTAAACACTCTCTTGGGCCTGCAGGAAGAATGAAGTTAACCTGACTGTTCATTGGAAGCACCAACTGTAAAGTTAAAGCTTAGGTCACGGTTAGAACTGGCCCACGGGGCCACTCTGGAAACAGTGAAGGACTGGCCCGCGGTGCTTCTGCTAGTGAAAACAGGCTCCCAAGCTCCGTTTTCGGCTACCACAGCCTCCTGCAACCCTCTGCCAGTAAAAACGGAGCTCGCCGTTTCTCTGACAGAGGGTTGCAGGAAGCCGTGGCAGCCGAAACAGATCTTGGGAGCCTGCTTTCGCTGGCAGAAGCACCGCAAGCCACCACAGGCACCCCTGACATGAGTGACGTCGAGCTGGCCACACCCACCCCAGCCCCCTGAGGTCAAACACAACCCTGATGCGGCCCTCAATGAAATCGAGTTTGATACCCTGCACTAGAATATAAGCTGACAGCAAACTGCATTCCTTACTAGCACTGGTGATGTTACCCAGTTTAGGTAATGAAAACAAGCTCAGAGAGTCCTAAGGACCCCCTTCCAATAGCTATTCAACCTCTTCTTAAAAATTTCCAGCAATGGAAGACCCATCTTTCAGAGGGACAATGAGTTCTTTTTTCATAGTTTCAGAAAGAGAGAGAGACGATGCCAACGTTTTCTTCCTGACCCACTTACCAGGTGACCTTTGGCTGAGGGTTAGCCAGAACGGTGCATTCCAATGTGACGCTCATCCTCTCCCAGACCGTGTGAGCCCGCAGAGGGATCCAAAACATGGGTGCCCGGCAGGACAACAGCTCCATCACTTCCTTTTCCAGTAGTGCCTTCGCTTCAGCCTTGGACGAGAATGCAGACGGTTTTATAACTTTTTATCTTACTGTTCTATAAATACATCCGCAGACATGGGACATGGAACTATTAGCACCTTCTGGGTGTTAATGTTAAAATAACACTTCCCTTTAGATGAGTTAAATTGTCCAGGGTGTCACCTGGACAGTTCCATTTATTTTTCATGTAACAATATGGAATTGCTCTACCATTGCCATCTTTGGGGATTTTTAAATTTTTAATTCTTCAGGGCACGGCATAATCTGAGATTTCTTGGGTGTCTTCCATCTAAATAACTACAGTGTCCCACTGCTTAATTTTTCACAGATCAGCCAGGTTAGTCTAGGACAGGGGTCTGCAACCTTAAACACTCAAAGAGCCATTTGGACCCGTTTCCCACAGAAAAGAAAACACCGGGAGCCACAAAAACCCTTCCCGTGCCTGACTATTTTTTGAGCGACCACAAAACTAGCATATGTAGTTGAATTAAACGTTCTGTTTTCTTCTGAAACTTTTCTTTTCTTAGATTTATCCATGGTTGGCCTATTGGGGGTTGAAAAGCTCAATAAATCATGTGCTGGCGGGTGTCGCACATTGGCAGTTGTGACGAATATTTTGAGTGACAGGGAGCCACAGCAGAGGGGTGAAAGAGCCACATGTGGCTCCAGAGCCACAGATTGCTGACCCCTGGCCTAGGACTAGGACTACACTAACAGTTGCCTAAAAGTCTCTCGTTGACATTTGGACTGTTACAGTGGTACAAAGGCTGCCATCAAAACAAATCTCCTGATGAACAATGTTAAGATTTAGGAATCTGCTGGCTTCGGGAGGTCAAAAAGAATAGACTTTAGAGCGGTGACAGATAATTGACAGAACCTTGAGTATCATTTATCCCATTTAACCCTAACCTATCCCATTGGGCCCACCACCTCTGGTGATTACAGAGAATGAGATGCAGAGCCTATTTCACAGACAAAAGCCAGGAAAAGCATCAGGTCCAGACCAGAGGTGGGTTCTAAAATTTTTTACTACCGGTTCTGTGGGCGTGGCTTATTTTGTGGGCATGGCTTGATGGTCATGTGACAATTCTTTAGGATTTAGCAGAGGTACTGGTTTACTAGGCTTTTAACTGCTTGCAGAACTGTACCGGTCTACCCATTTATTTTTGCAGGCACTGGTCTACCCATTTATTTTTGCAGGCACTGGTCTACTCATGTATTTTTGCAGGCACTGGTCTACCACCAAACTGCCTTTTACCACTGATCAGCTGTAGGGCGGCCCTTTGAAGCCCCGTGGCAAGAGTTTAAACAGTTTTTTTCCTTATAGCCCATCAGCTGGGACTCAGGAGGCAGCAATAGATTGGGGATGGGGCCAAATAAAAGGTAGGAATAATGCGGGGGGTGGGGGGGCCGGGGGGCCAGGGGGGGCCAGAACCGGTTTGGTGATGTCATATCGTCACCACTACCAGCTCGGCGGAACCGGGTGGAACCGGGAGGAACCCACCACTGGTCCAGACAAGATAACTCCTTCTTGCTTAAAAACTTGTGCTGACTAACTGGCCCCCATCTTCACCCACATCTTTAATAAATCACTAGAGATGTGCTATGTTCCTTCTTGCTTCAATGCTCTACTATCATCCCAGTGCCGAAGAAACCCTCCATCAAGGAACTGAATGACTTCAGACCGGTTGCTCTAACATCTGTAGTTATGAAGGCCTTTGAAAGACTAATGCTCGCCCCCCTGAGAACAATCACGGATCCACTGTTAGACCCCTTGCAATTTGCTTACCAAACAAATAGATCGACAGATGATGCTGTTAATATCCTACTGCTGCACTACATCCTACAGCATCTTGAATCTCCAAAGATCTACGCAAGGGTCCTCTTTGTAGACTTCAGCTCAGCATTCAACAACATCATTCCAGATATTCTTCTAGCTAAACTAAATCAGCTAGCTGTACCTGACCACACTTGTAAATGGATCATAAGCTTCCTAACAGACAGGAAGCAGCAGGTGTAGCTAGGCAAAATCACATCAGATACCTGCACAATTAACACAGGAGCCCCCCAGGGCTGCGTGCTCTCTCCACCACTCTTCTCTCTATACCCCAATGACTCTCAAAAGATCCGTCTGTTAAAATACTGAAGTTTGCAGATGATACAACAGTGATTGGTCTCATTCAAGACAACGATGAATCTGCATACAGACGGGAGGTTGAACGACTAGCCTTGTGGTGCAACCAGAACAATCTTGAACTAAATGCACTCATAGTTCAAGCCATCTCCTTCCAGGTGCCCTTCAAAACCCCCCATTTCTTACCTTCCTCCGAAGGGCCATCCTATCAGCCTTCACCCGCAAGAACCGGCAATGTCTGATGACGTCCTTCTCTAGCTTTTCCATGTCATTCCCAAAACGAATTCTCTTCTTTCCCCTGTCCTCTAGGTTTAGTACAGCGGCCTCCCGTCTCATCCTGGTTTCCCTGAGGAAAATAATCATGAATTGGAAAGTCCAGTTTTTCAGGTTCAGAAATAGACCTCATGCTAACCCTGAATCTCCCCCTTTGATGCCTTTTGATGCCTTTTTATTCTGGCTCCAGACAAAGGTGAATAATCAAATCTCACCCACGCATATCTGTATTTTTATGAGGCATTTCTCTACTAGTAATTTATGGTTATTCACTTACTTACTCACTTACCGTATGACATATGAAGATAAATGGAATTTGCTAATATGGAAATATATATGCTAGTATCACAGATACATGTCAGTTAGTATTTGTGCACAAATATTAAGACAATTACCTTGTTAGATGTCTATTTATTGTTTTAGAAAATAAGGGTGTTTATGTTGTGGATATAGGCAGTCCTAGACTTACGATCAGATCTTGAGCCCAAGATTTCTGTTGCTAAGTGGGACAGTTGTTAAGTGAATTTTGTGGCATTTTATGACCTTTCTTGCCACAGTTGTTAAGTGAATCACTGCAGTTGTTAAGTTAGTAACACGGTTGTTAAGTGAATCTGGCGTCCCCCATGATTTTGCTTGTGAGAAGGTCGCAAAAGTCAATCACGTGACTCTGTCATAAATACATGCTACTTGCTGAGTGGCTGAATTTTTATCACGTGACCCTGGGGCTGCTGCAGTGGTCATAAATATGAAAAGCAGTCATAGGTCGCTTTTTCCAGTGCGGTTGTAATTTTGAACATTCACTAAATGAATGGTTGTAAGTGGAGGACTATCTGCCAACTCAGGAAGCTCAAACTGCCCCAAAGAGCTGCTGATTCAGTTCTACAGAGGAATTATTGAGTCTGTCATCTGCACCTCCATAACTGTCTGGTTTGGCTCTGCAACCCAACAAGACAGACACAGACTTCAGAGGATCATTAGAACTGCAGAAAAAACAATGGCTACCAACCTGCCTTCCATTGAGGATCTGTATACTGCACGAGTCAAAAAGAGGACTGTGAAAATATCTACAGACCCCTCACATCCTGGACATAAACTGTTTCAACTCCTACCCTCAAAACGACGCTATAGAGCACTGCACACCAGAACAACTAGACACAAGAACACTTTTTCCCTGATGCTGCCATCACTCTGCTAAACAAATAATTCCCTCAACACTGTCAAACTATTTACTAAGTCTACATTACTATTAGTCTTCTCATCATTCCTATCACCCATCTCCTCCCACTTATTACTATAACCATGTTTCTTGTATCTTTCAATTTATATTGTTTTTACTTGTTTCCTAGTCCGATTTGATAGCTTATTAGTAACCTTGACTATCAATAAATGTTGTATCTTTTTATTCTTGATGAATGTATTTTATTCTCCTTATGTACACTGAGAGCATATACACCAAAGACAAATTCCTTGTGTGTCCAATCACACTTGGCCAATAAAGAATTCTATTCTATTCTATTCTATTCTATTCTATTCTATTCTATTCTATCTATTCTATTTCTATTCTATTCTATTCTATTCTATTCTATTCTATTCTATTCTATTCGCATAAAGTTTTTCTCTGGCTGTGGATGTGGCCTTCAGAGAAATCCAGAGGTTGTCATCAAAATATTTAATATAGCAGAAGGTGAAAAGAAGTCCACCGATGCAGAATACAATGTTAACTATATTTATCGTGTAGGCTTGGCGCAGAAAATAATTCCTTCCCGTAAATCATTGGACATACCAAGATACTTCAGTCGTCAGCGCAAGAGCAGATGCGATGGTCCTATCCAGAGAGGTAAAGCTTTCTTCTTCTTCACTGTTCCAAGAAAGTTGAGATGGCAGAACAAAAAAAAAAGTGAATATTTAGAAACATAAATATTTGGATGAAAGAACAGGCAATGATAAAAATGTTTCATAAATAAAATATTCTGTCTGGAGAGCTTGTGCATAAATAACAGAGACTATTATTAAGATGTTGTTGTTGTTAGTTGCGAAGTTGTGTCCGACTCATTGTGACCCCATGGACAATGTTCCTCCAGACCTTCCTGTCCTCCACCATCCTCTGGAGTCCATTTAAGCTCACTCCTACTGCTTCAGTGAGTCCATCCAGCCACCTCGTTCTCTGTCGTCCCCTTCTTCTTTTGCCCTCAATCTTTCCCAGCATTAGGCTCTTCTCCAGTGAGTCCTTCCTTCTCATTAGGTGGCCAAAGTATTTGAGTTTCATCTTCAGGATCTGGCCTTCAGAGCAGTCAGGGTTGATCTCCTCTAGGACTGACCGTTTTGATTGCCATTATTAAAATGCGCTAGATGCATTTGCATAATATGTTGAGTTTGATTATGATTAAGTTTTGGTAGCTTCCTGTGCTATGGAAACTCAACCCACTGAATATATCCATTTTCAGTGTATTGTACATTAAAGCCTAACCTGCCCAAATTAGCTGAGTTTACATAATAGGCAAGCTTTCACAGAAACTAACCCAACAAGTTGAGCAGGTTATGGGAACACAGCCATTAGGTTTTAAATGGGTCATACAAGATATATCTCAGACCCCTTCTCTCAACCTGGATTCTGTTACTTTCCTAATTCCTAAACTCACCTGGTCCTGAATTTGGACTTTCTTGTCTGTGAAGTCATTTGTAAATCGCGGTGTCTCTCTTCCTTCTGTTCCTCTTCTCTGTGGTGGTAAAAGGTGTGGGTAGCCATGATGGAGATCAGAGGATTCCTGTCTGCCAGAAAACATCAAGAGTCCAGAGTCACCTTGTAGGGGAGATGGGCAGGGAGGTGGGGGGACATAGGTATTAATTAATTACATAAATAAATAAATTTGCTCAATAAAACTGAAAAAGAAGCGAAGAGAAGGAAGAAAAGAAGGAATCAATTTCTTTTTTTTCTTTTTACAACCATGTAATCCCTTTTATCGGAGTGGAGTTGGGGTGACTGATTGGAGCAGAGCGTTTACTAGCCGGATGCTCTTCCTGATGCCTATATGGAGTTCACAGCAGATATTTTCTCTTTGCGCCCTGATAGAGAAACAACTCTCATTACCTAGGATTGAGTGAAAGCTGTTTCTCTATCAGGGCACAAAGAGAAAATATTTGCTGCGAACTCCACGTAGGCATCAGGAAGGGCATCTGTCCAGTAAATGCTCAGCTCCATCATTCATCCTGAGAATAGAAGGAATCAAATAAAATGCATTAAACTCTTCATAGGTTAACATCAGTGGTGGGTTGCCCCCGGTTTGGACCGGTTTATAAGAACCGGCAGTAAAACCGGTGGGAGGCCCCGCCTACCACCCCGGATGTTGTCATCGGGCGATCTGTGCATGCGATTCTGTTGCGAACTGGTAGTAAAGGTAAGTAGAACCCACCCCTGGTTAACATGTGCAATACACTTCTTTCCAACCTTCAAAAAAAACAAACAAACAAGGAAACCCAGCTCAAAATTCCCCTAATCATCAAGGCACAACCTCTGCATTCTTTTGAAGCCTAAGAAAATAATTTTCATTTTCATTTTCAATACCAAGGTCATTTCTTTGGTATTGTCACACATATGGGAACACAAGATCCAAATCAGGACAATATTAATAATAATAATAATTTTTTTAAAAAATCTAGACCTGGGAAAGAAATGGTTAACGAGTGCTTATTTATGGTCATGTCGATGTTTGAAAACTCTCAGAAGCCTGACTGGGAGGTGTACAAAAATGGGATTAGGTCAGTTGCTTTCTTAAAGATAGAAAGAGGGAGAGAAACAATGCAGCTCCCCTTGGCCGATGTCCATTTCGTGCTGTTGGCTGCCAAAGACAAGGTACAATACCATCCACTCCACCCAGCCCTCCCCCTGGGATCAGGCTCCATTTAGACACAGCTGAAATGCTTGGGGGATTCAATGCATGTGGCCTTCTAAAGCCACGTTCATCCACCCTGCCAAAGAATTTTAGGAAGCAGCTCCCTATGGCTGAGGACAAATGCAGCATTCGAACATAGTGCAAAGTTAGGTGACCGTCTCAGGTGGCAAATGCCAGGGCGGGGGAAGAGAAGGGCAGCTCCTTGAGTCAAGAACATAGGGGGTGAGGGATTTTACTTCACTATCTGTCAAGAAACCTTGGCCAGATTCACATGTTATGCAAAGCCATCAAGCACTTTCTTTGGCTCCACTTTGGCATGTTGTGTGAATCCAGCCAATGCAGTAAATAAACCAGCATTTCTGAACATGTAAACCGAATCAAAGATGACTTCCTTAAGAAAATAACGGCTGGATGCAATGCATGAACTGGATCATAGTGGAATTATTCTCTCTTTTTCTCTTTAATTGATTGGCTACAAACAAGAACAATAATGAAAGAGGTGGCATGAAAACACAGGATAATTATGACAAACAATACAGTCTGAACAAGATTTTGAGAAAAGGCAAGGAAAGAGAGAATGTGATAACACGGATAATTTCAAAAATCTATTAAAAGCCCTTCCCTATATTTATATATTCCTTATATTTAAGGAGACCCTTGTTTCAAATTGGTTTTATTGCATGCCACATACTGAACCTGAAAACATTTTTTTTAAATTTTAATCGGAACATATCAGGCTAAGCTAAGACTTATAATAAACTGTTTACTCCTGAACACAACTGACAGGTTTTAAAATAGCTCATGTGTTACAGTGAAGAAACAAAAAAAAATACTCAGTGCACATGTCTCTATCACTCTTACACTGGTGAAGCTCAGGACAAGAAGACCAGCTTCAGGAATCCAGCTGACAGATGAACAACTGTTTTCTTAAATTCAAAATTCAAAGTGTTCTTGACAGACTGAGGAAGAACTAAGGAAAGAGAACTATTGCTAAGTGGACTGAGGAAGTCCAGCTGGATGAAGCAATAAACATCTGTACCAAGGAAGTTTATTCGGACTAGGAGCTTGAGAGACAGGAGGACACATGGACATCTCATGAACCAGTGGTGGGATTCAAAAATTTTTACTACCGGTTCTGGTGAATGTGGCTTGGTGGGCGTGGCATGGCTTGGTGGGCATGGCTTGGTGGGCATGGCAAGGGAAGGTTACTGCAAAATCCCCATTTCCTCCCGATCAGCTGGGACTCGGGAGGCAGAGAATAGATGGTCAGTCAGAGGTGGTATTTACCGGTTCTCCGAATTACTCAAAATTTTCACTACCGGTTCTCCAGAACTGGTCAGAATCTGCTGAATAGCACCTCTATCATGATCATTTGGGTTAGGTGACTGCACTGCCCTCTGCTTGGTGAAGATGGTTTGCCAATTTCAGTTAACATGGAATGGAACAACCATGATCTAGTTTGCACAACTGGAGACACATCGCACTTATTCTTAAATCAGTTGTGCAGTTTGCCCAATGACTACTACGACTGTCTCATAGTATAGGTGTGTTGATCTCAGGATCAAAATGACTTGGATGATCAGATTTTGTTGGTAAACCCTGAATCTGTGAACATGATCTCTTTTTGTGGTGCAACTAATGAATAATGGCCGAGTTTCAAGTACCCAAGTAAGATGTTCTTGATGTGGCTAGCCTCACTGGTAAGCCTTTTGCCTTTAGACCTATATCAGAATACATTTTTCCGCTGAGCTTAATGTGTTTGCTTCTAATTGAAGTAGAAGATTTGATCATATTATTATTTTAATGCTTTGTTGGCTGCATGATGATCGTATTGGGGCAAAGTGTTTTATGACAATTAGATGAAGAGCAGTATGCAAATCAATATTATTATTGATGTTGCTGTTCTTATGATCTGCAAGAGGAAGGCTGTAATCAGGATCAGACTAGGGCATCTGAGAAGAATTTTTTCTTTGCAAAATGCCATGAATGAGATGTCTTTGAATTTCCTGTTCTGAAATCCTTTACGCTCAAACTCAAAGCCCGTGGGCCAGATCCGACCCACAGGGTGCTTAGATCTGGCCCACGGGCCTACCCTGAAAACAGCAAAGGACCAGCCTGCAGTGCCTCTGCCAATGAAAATGGCCTCATGCAGGCCTCTTGAGCTTCGTTTCCAGCCACAATGGCCTCCTGCAGCCTCCTGCAGCCCTCTGCAAGTGAAAATGGAGCTGGGGAAGGCCACACACATCCTGAGCTCCGTTTCCAGCCACAACAGCCTCCTGCAGCCTTCTGCCGGTGAAAATGGAGCTCGGGAGGACCACATGCAGGCCTCCTGAGCTTCATTTCCAGCCATGACAGCCTCCTGCAGCCCTTTGCAAGTGAAAATGGAGCTGGGGAGGGTCACACACAGGCCTCCTGAGCTCTGTTTCCAGCCACAACAGCCTCCTGCAGCCTTCTGCTGGTGAAAACGGAGCTCGGGAGGACCACATGCAGGCCTCCTGAGCTCCGTTTCCAGCCATGACGGCCTCCTGCAGCCCTTTGCAAGTGAAAATGGAGCTGGGGAGGACTCCCCAGGCTCCATTTTCACCGGCAGAGGGCTGCAGGAGGCCATTGTGGCCAGAAATGGAGCCTCGATGAGTGATGTCGAGCTGGCCACGCCCCCTGGCCATGCCCCCAGCTCCCTCCCACAAGGTCAAACACAACCCTGATGCAGCCCTCAATGAAATCAAGTTTGACACTCCTGTTCCACAGCAATCTTATCTGGGTGAGGTAGCCACGATGTAGCTGACTTAAGATCTTTTTGCTGCAAAAGTGATGTAATTCTTTTCATCGGGGCAAAACAGAAAAAGGAAAAGCAATGGATTTGGCCTTGAATGACGCCCTGCCCTGCCTGTCCCTCTGCCTGCCTGAACTGGTGCTTGCCAAAGCTGAGAAAAGGTTCTGCATAGGATGCTTGGCAGGTACAAACACATATTTTGAACAGGTGGCTGATTTGAATGGGTGGAAGAGTCAGCTTCTCCAGGATTTTGCAAATACCGATTGAACCAGAAAGGATGAAAAGAATTATTTTCACTGCTCCCAAATTGGCACTGAAATGGTGCCTGGGATGGTTGTGCTGGGGTTTCAAGAGAGGGAAGTCAAAAAAGTTAGGATGGCAACTGTGTCTCGCCCTAATTTTATGGGTACTGTTCAGTGGTGGGTTGCTACCGGTTCGCTCCAGATTGGGTGAACTGGTAATGGCGGTGGTGGGAGGCTCCGCCCACCTGCCCGGACATCTCTGTGCATGCGCAGAAGCGTTGTGCACACATGTACATGCGCCAGGGGTGGGTTCTACTTACCTTTACTACCGGTTCGCAGCAGGGCCGCGCGCATGCGCAGAAGCGTTTTGATGATGTCGGGGTCGGTGGGTGGAGCCTCCTGCCGGTTTTACTACCGGCAACCCACCACTGACGCGCGCCCACACCCACGCGCGAACCAGTAGCGACGGGATTTGAAACCCACTACTGGTACTGTTTCTCTGATGCAAATTAAAAAAGAGACCACCCATCCCAAACTCACAACATCTCAAATTTGCAAAAAGGATTTGCAATGCAAAAACGGGCACCCTTCTTGATGATTTGCACAGCACTATTTCTTGGGGCATTTTTTATGTTTGAAAATCACCAATTATATATACGGTATCAATAAACAAATATTTGGCAGATCCTTATCAGGACAATGGTAGTAATTTTATACCAAATATTTCTGTTGATCGGTCGCTGTAGGAAATACTCTTTTCTCTCTCATACAAGATTAGTTCAATAAAGCTAAACTATGGGGAAATTTAGGAAAGCAGAGAGGAATTTAATCTGTGGAATTCACCACCACAAGATGTAACAGGGGCCCCAGCTTGGATGACTTTAAAGGCAACGAG